ACACGACCATCACAAATGTGTTCAGAATGAAAACATGAAGTTCTTCAGTAATCTCAAAAGACAGCCTTTATCAGCCCACTTGACACTTGAGCTAAATTGAAAAAAACTATACAAGAATGTGGCTGAGCATGTCTGGTGAGAAGTCCTTTAAATTAGCCACACATGTGGCCGCTTAGGAGAGAGGGGCGTCACTGACAGACAAAGAATAACACAAAAATGAGACAAGAATTCCGACCTGTATTTCTGTGTCACCTGAGCCTTGCTCTGCTGATCGCTTGTCCTCGTTACTAAGAATCTATAATTGAAGTCCTTCACCGACCTTTAGTAAATAAAAACTCACTCAAGGAATTTCCTGTTATTTCAAATGGGTGTAATTGACATACCAAACCACAAACTCATGCAGCTGCTAAATTATTTCACACTTAGATCTGTCTTTCCAAGATGTATTCATTTTCGACCTATTCAGCCTAAGCTCAACTTACCAACGGATACAGTAAAACAACAATAACTGGATACAAGAGCGTTCACAGGAGACTGCAGCACCTGCTCCTTTCTCTGTAGGTTATTATACACATCTTGTGTGGCTTAACAGAAAAGAAAGGGCATATTTTAAGCAGACCTGAGGATAAGCCTGTAGCACATAACCCTGATTTGCAATTCATTCTCAGAGCAGATGCCTCAAAGTTGAGATTCAGGTTCAAGTCCTATTTGTGTCATGATGAAATAACATGCATTGAGTGAAGACCACAGTTGTTGTTACCACTTCATACCAAGTCACAAACGACCCCTTATTTCCTTATGTTCCTACACCAGTATTTAGCAAAGGGTCCTCTGTTGCATGACATGAAGCCATCCAGGGGTCATCCCTACGTTCCTAGGGCCCTTTATTTGCTCACTGAAAGCAGGCCCTGTGCTTCAGGGCTGTATGTTCCCCAGGGCCCATGTTCCCCCATTGAAATGTCCTAGAAAACAACTCTTTGCTTCCATGGTCTACTGTTTGTGTTTATATTTATTTTTGTTTACTGTTGTCAGAGATTAAGCTTTTTGCGTTTGCGAACTTGTGGTGGCATGCAAGTGTGCTTATCTTGTAAAGACGATATTTCTGATACATTGCAATAAGTACACTACCGCCATCCATGTTTCTGGGTTCCAAGTACTATGTTCTCCAAAAAGGTTGTCTACGTGATACACAGATATAAGCTGTACACCCATTAGGAACCATTAGGACTGCGCAGAGGCTCACGTATTTGGTCATTACTACAATCGCACGTAAAACTTGGACATGAGAAAAAAAAGGAAAGAAAAAATGAACATTTCTTAACTAGGAATGTGCATTTCCTGAAGGAAACACAGAGTGGTTGCACAGCTTAAATGGTTCTCACTTCCTGCTAGCTTGCTGCTGTGGTATCCAAGGTGGTTGCTAAAGTACCACAGGTGGTTGCTATGGTGTTGCTAAGCGGTTGCTATGGTATCACAGGTAGTTGCTAAGATAGTATATGTGAACCGGTGTCTTTCAGTCAAGCAGAAGTACAGTAGATTGTCATGCAATTTTTGTTACTCCATTCATTCCTATGGGAAAAAAATTCATAAAATTCCTTTGCTACATGAAAACATCTGGTCAAAAAGCTGTATACACGCATGAATCAAACAATCAGACAATCTGGAGTTGGAACGGCGTTGATGTCTCAAAAGCTGCGAGACAAGTTACACAGCAAAAATGCAGCAGAAAAATAAGAATAATAAAAAGAAGAATAATATAAATCAGATAACAATACAGTTGCGTGTTGCTTTCCATAATTAGCTATTTAAATTAGCCTTGCAGGGTATAACTAAGCTGTCTCCTTTCATTTTATTGATGTTCATTAACTTATAACGATTGTCAACAGAAACTTAAAAATAATTACCAATAGGGTACAAGGAAATGACAAACAGCATTATTTGCAGTTACACCATGAATATAAGGTTAATGGATTGAGGGTACTTTAGCTAAGTGCTTTAGATATGTTGCTAGATATGTGCTGGCTAGACTAATCTTGCTAACCATGATGGCAGCCCTTGTTCTAGTCTGCTTTGACTCAATGGAATGAACAGAAAACAGAAACACCTATTCTGCATTAGGCCTGAGGTAAAGGAGACATCTTGTTAACCCAACCTGTCTTTAGTTATACAACAGAATAAACTCTTTTTGAATGTGGCCTGAAACAAAAAAAAAAAAGTCTGATGTAAAGAAAGAGTTGAGAAAAAAAAAAGACTCTCACTGGAAGGCACCACTGCTTTGTTTAACAGTTCCATCTCGAAATATAACATTAATTTCTAATCAATTCAAACTACAAACTGCTTTAAAAAGAGAGGAAGCTTGGGAAAGCAACACCCACCCCAGCATCAACTCTGATCAGGTCAGTTAGCCACAGCATACCCACCAGACAACATCACTGGTGCTCTCAGTGGAAAGCTATGCCACGTGCTGTGCGAGTGAAGCACCTGCATCATCATGCCGAAAGCTACAGCAATTAGCATTATTCCCTGAATGTGCTGAAGTGCTCAGTCATGCTGCATGGTCTTTAGCTAACCTAAATTTTTAGGTAAGCTAAATTGGGAGAAACAAAGGAGAAGGTGGCCTATGACTCACAGTGAAGTGATGGCATAATAACTATCTTCTTTACAAAAGTGTGGCTCTCTAAAAGGTACTTACCTCATCTCAATTGTGGGTGATGCTTCAGTTATAACGCACAAGCACTCTTAAATTCAAACCCACGACCTGTGGAACACTACCTGTGACCTTACATGAACTGTGAACGCACTACGGCTAAATCCGAAGAAGCCTGGCACCCTGACTCAATCTGTAGATGATGATTAATAATGCATTAATTATAGGGCAGAACTCAATCCTGTGCATGACTGAAGCTAAAGTGGTTCCAAAAAGCAGGAGCCTTTTGTCTTGCCTGCAAGAAGGAAACACTAAAGAAGAAAATTAGCCGCCTACAGCTCACATACAGTTAGTGCTGTATCATAGTGACTAAACCAGGGCAACTCACAGCAGTCCAAGAATAACAGAAAATGGAGAACTTCTCAGAAAATGTCTTTTGTTTGAGGGATCCAACAGAGACACTCAGTGTAATAGTGGAGGAGTCATACAGACAGCAGGTTTAAGAGGCACAATTACAGGCATAATGATGAAGACTACAATAATAACTTGGGAAAAGATTTAGGGAAGACTCCTGCACGTAAGAGTCCCATCAAAGTCCGCACATACAATTTTATGATTAAAGGACCCATATCATACATTTTGCCTTGTATTTTACCTCTTAAGCCCCTCAAAGGCTGAAATACTTCATATTACTTCAGCATGAATGGTCAGGGTTAAATTATTCTGATTAGGTGGATAAAAAGCAAATCAGAATGTTTGCAAACATTAACATTGGCTAGACTTTTGGATGGATAAATTTCATTCAAACAGTGTGGAAGCTGCTCAATTTAACTGTATGGGTGATAAGGGTAATATTTTGCTGTGTTTGAGCAACGCAGTAAGATGTCGTATATATGCAAGCACATAACAGATTTTAGGCTTTTCCAATTTTCCAGCTTTCAAAAGCAAGTAGAGCTGCTAAGCAGTATTAATCCCACTGAGAGATCCTCTGTCTTTGGTAACATTCACCAAGCCAATCGCAATTTAGGGAACTCTTCACTCTTCTAGGTGAAGATAGTTACCAAGAACTATTAGCTTGGCTTTTCACATTAAAACCTTCTTGCAACTAGTTGCAGGCTGCGAGTTGCCTGCAACATAATTTCCATGCAACTTGACAGCTTCACAAAGCAATTCAAAAACAAACATGTACATTAACAAATTCAATTACTCCACTAGTTCACTACTACTCCACTACTCCAGAAATGAACGTTTAAGTAGCAATGCTTGGCCTCCCCTACTGTAATACTGTGTAATACTGTTCTTCCTCTGACTCCCATATGAATCTAAACTCTGTGTAAAATTATAAGGCATCAGACGAGGAGAAAATTTAGGATATAATAAGCATATATGGTGATGCAAGCAGCCTTTTAAACAGCTGCTACCATTAGCTGGCTAGTTAATAAAGCCACAGTCACAGAAACGTTAGCATTTAACTACAACTACAACCGTAAGTTGTGCTTATTCTGGTTTGGATCAGTTCTTGTTTTTGAATGTGCAGTGGAAAAACACCCTTAATGTTTGTTCTTTTAACATGGCAATGAAACGTGTGGCCTGTTTGTGTTTATGTCAGAAATGAACTACACAAAGTCGTGAAGCTATCAACCTGGGAGGATCAGTGTAAACATAACAGCCAACTTAGATCATAACAGCCTGAGTAGCATACAGCCTTGATAATATCTACAACAATAACAACATCAATAATAGCAGTTTGAAAAAACAGTGAATACTTAGAGGTACACACTATCTGAGTAATATTTCATCACAAGATCACTGTTTTATGTTTCTCCAAGTTAAATAACCCTCAAATAACTCACAGATTTACTATAAAATCCTGTTGTACCAGTGCAGCACTACTGGCTATCCACTTGGACTCAAGTTCTTTGTTAAAGTGTCAGAATGCTGACTTGTTCTATATGTAAATGTGTTGGTTAGTCATAGCATCACAAAAACAATGAACTCAAAACTGACTGTTTTGCAGCTTAATTTTCATAGACTGCATGGACTGAGAGTAAGTGATATTTTTGTATTATAACTATATATTATATTATGTATTAATATAATATATAGTATTATATAACATTATATAATTATTGTATTACTTTTGTTATAAGCTTTAACAAAGTATACAAGTAATACAGCATAAATCCGTCAAACTCGCTGATTTTGCACAGGTAATGATTTCATCTGCTTAATAACTTGGTATCCGTTGCTAAGCAAGTCAAAGATGTGTTGAATACTAAAATCAACACCTAACCCCAACAGCAACCCCACCCGTCCAACAAACACTGAGGAATACACTTTAATTGGAAAGAAATTAGACTGATTATTTGAGTTTAATGTCAAAGCTATGCAAATATAATCCATTTTCACCAATTCATTATTTGTTATGAAATATGGGAAATTCACAAAAGCAGAGCAATCTCAGTGATTAATTCTACACCAAACAAAAGTATAAATAAGTAAATGTCTGCCATATAGATATATTATGTAAAATATGTAAAGGTAGTGTTGTACATAAGAAGTGTAATAAATATAAGACATAAAAATGTAACACCATATACAGTATAAGGCCATTACAGAACATCCTAAAACCATAATAAAACCTCCACAGTAATTCAAGTTCATTCTAATTTTACAATTCAACAAATTTCATTACCATACCATCATGAAAAGCTAACATTCCAACAACTAACCACATTTAAATACTCTGAAAACTTAACAAAACTTTCCCACTCGGAGTCCAGTTCCAATGGTTTATGTGCTGTTACTTGGTCTGAAGTTTTTACCTGTGCGAGGAAGGTAACTTGGCAGACATTAGAGAATGAGCACAGAGATTGTTCGTTTACTAATGACCTTAAGGCAGCTATTTAATGCATGCTAATGTGGCTACCAACCATTGTAAGCTAAGAATGATATCATGCTAAGCAGCCACACTAGCCTTCATTTGCCGTTCGCACATGCCTACCAGCATTCTCCCTGTTCTAGCACACCTGCTTTAACTCCTTAGGCAATTAGCAAGCCCTTCACACCTGAGTCAGGTGCATTTGAGCAGGGAAAACACTAATGTGCAGTGCATGGAGTCCCCATAAACTGAGAACCACCGCTTTAAATATTTGAAATATTTACTGTATTATTCAGTCTTTCTCAGCTTGAAAGATTTAAATGAGAAGACGTTGCATGCAAATGTCTAGTGCACATCTCATTACAAATGAATTAAAAACGTCAAAATGCCTGTTTCTGAGTTTTGGACAAAGCATACACAGGAGGAGTAATGTTTTTAGGTATCTAAAAGACTTCTGAGGTTGTGCATCATTTTGTAGTTGGTGGCGGTTCTGCCGAAAATTGCCCCATCGCACCCTGTGGTAAACAAAAATGCCCCAAAGTGCACACAATGCATACTGTCCTGTGTGCATTTTCCCCCTGAATGTCACTGTTCTCTTAATTACAAGGTCATTAAGGAGTCAATATTGCTACATACATGCTACAAGCAAGCTAACACTCCTGCACATTTCATTAACATTACTAGATTACATGAAGGCAAGGCTAAAATCAAAAGTACAATATAACACCAGCTACTCAAATAGCAGCCTACTACTGCCAAAGGCACTTAAGCATGCCGACTGGTTAGTAGGGCAGTGCCCCCCCGGCAAGGCCTGAACCAGGGGTAACGTCTACAACGCAAAAATAGCCATTTTATTTACTATTCACTACTTATTACTATCCAGTGAACCGAAATTGGTGGTAAAAATAGGTTTTCTTTAGAGACTATTTTGACTTCCAACACCCTGCGTGTACCTCTCTACCATGAGGTTTTAGGCCAAAATCTTCACAAAACAATGTCTCAGGCATCAGGCAGCGTGTTCATCACCATTTCTCGTAATAATTTTCTGTGATGTAGCTTTTAGATTTATTAACCGCTTCACATGTCTGATTCCTACCACCACCACTGTGAACACTCCTGACTCACCAAGTTTCTCTACAATGATGCATTTCACATCAGACCACTCTGACTGACTTTGTTTTAACAACTTAATTAGGCAGACATTTTGAAAAATTAGTGGAATTCGCTAACAAGAGGACAGTCAACAACCTTGTAATTCAATTGACAGTGATATTTAGGGGGACATGCATGCAGAACAACATATATCAGCTTTGGACCTTGTCTGTTAACCAGACAGTGTGAAGGGCGATTTTGGAAAACGCCATATATTTTTCCCACAGAAAAAAATTGCTTGGACCCAGGGTGTCTCTGGATGCTAATGGCAAACTACAAAATGATGACCTATTCTCAGGGGTCTATACATAGTATATCGTCACTGTCCAAAGTATCTCAATTTTTTGCGATTTTTTTTTCCCCTTACATCATTTGAGCACACAAAATTTCATGCCTTAAGGCTTAATTGCTAAAATCTCTATTTTAACTTACACCCAGGAGCGCAAAAAACATTCTTTACTTAAAATTACCACTGTGGAGATATTTGTTTTTTTGGGCAGTGATGATATGTATAGCTAGTTGCTAACTGAGTAACTGCTCAAATAATGCACGTCATTTACAAGACCCTACAGCCTTTCTTATTTCTCATAAGCTTATGGGATGAGTATATATCGTTCTTTGGCTGCTGAGAAACATCAGGACAGTACTTTGGTTGAATGCAACTGTAAGCCATGCTGTTAAAAATGGAAGCACTGATTTATGAACTCTGTTCTATGAAGGGATCCTTCTAATCTAAGTTTCTCTCTGTTTAAAGAACAGCAGGCTTTGTATGTGGGATGTATGATGCATGAAATATAGTGCACTCAGAGACCTTCATCAACCCTGTATTTACACCCAACTGTAATAGGGACTCTGTATGGTAGGGGTAAGGAGAATGGAGAGGAGAAAGAGGCCACACATGTAGAGACATACAGCATTTGGTCTTCAAGTGGAAAGCTAACACTGGTCATTTTTGCCAGAGATTCTGAGTGCAGCAATGTCATAAAAGCTGTGTGAACCCCTTGTGAAGCATATTAGATAAAAATCTGGTGAGAAACGTATGCATGTGTGGTTTGTTATCTCTGCAATATTTTTTGGATGGTGCCTGTTACGGATGCAGCCATGAACCTGATACTATGCACAGTATTTAAAGGCAAGCATAGGTGTCTCTCATCTGAAATTTAATTTAAGGCATACGGCAGCGCATTCTGGAAGGCACCTGGAAGGTAACTATGGCTGCACAACATGGGGGTGAGAAATGTGCTGATATTGTTAAAGATTCATTAGCAATTGTTACATTATGTCACAACATGTTTTCTTGGAATGTCATGGATATTGTCAGTACTTGAACACTGAACACTGTGAATTTTTTTTGCATAAGTAAATCATTAAGACACAAACAGTCATTAAGAGTGGTTTGATATGAAACGCTCCATTCTTAAGAAACTTGCAGAATCAGAATGGTTCACAGTGGTGGCGATAGGAACCTGATGTCTAACGTATTTATTTCTTCTAAAAGCTCTCTCACAGACAGTTACTACATGAAATGGTTAGAAATGCATTGCTCAGTGCCTGAGACATTGCTTTACGATTGGTTTTTCCATTATTTTACCATTATCAATGTTACATATAAAAAGTCATGTAGCTTTAGATCAGGCATGTCAAACTGGGGACCTTCTGGGCCAAAGTGCTGCAGAGATTAGCGTTTGCTTTCATCTAACGCTCTGAATTCAGCTGATAAAGGCCTTGCTAATTAGCTGATGAGCTGAATCAGGAGTGTTTAATGAGGCAGTTGGCTGAAGTCTGCAGTGTTGTGGCCTGTGAGGATTGGAGCCTGACACGTGTGCTTTGGACAGTAAATAGAATGCTTCTCTACAACAAACCACATCACATCAAACAACTCCAAATGACTTCGTTTACCTCTCAAGGATTAAATTTTGTAGAAATTTCGAAAAATCTGTGGAATTCCCCTTTAAGGTAGCACAGTATGTGAAATGAACATATATAAGTACATAATTCAGAAAACGTATTGTGATATATTTTTGCCACATCGCCCACCCCCAGCGCAATATATTTGTTGGTATCAGTATTGCAGTACTTATATATCACTGAAGGCTTAAATGAGCCTTGGATCCAATCACTAAATGTTTTATTTTGTGCTGTGAGCATCTGGACCAACCTGAAATGCTCCAGATGATTTCTGTGTGTGTTTTTTTATGAACCAAGGCATCTGCATAACCCAATAAAATAAGTAATGTCAGTCAGGGCAATCAACTCTAATATGTTTTTGACATACTGTAACTCACATTGCAACTGTGATACGTAGCAGTATAATCACAATATGGAATTTTGGCTGTTGGATTTGACTGGGTCTAAGGCAGATTAGGGTAGTGTTTTTTAGCAGCAGAAACTACTGAGCGACATACAAGTCAAAGTTCAGGGGAAGGCTGCACTCTGAGAATTTCAGTAGTAGTAGTAGCAGGACAGTATTTAGCATCAGAGGAAGTGGCAGCTTTTTTGCAGTGTTGGGCGCTGATGTGCAGGACGGAGTGTAGACTCATCTCATGTCCTAGACATGTCAGCCCTGCTGAGAGCGAGAGCCAACTCCAGATCCTGCTGTTCTTGAAGGCGGAGCCTCCTCAGACGCTCCTCCTCCTCCCTCTTGCTCTCTCGCTTGGCCCACTCCAGCTGCTCTACCTCATTTCCGAACTAAGAGAGAAAAAAAAAAAAGAGGTGTGAAATATTGTGGTTGTGGATCCAACTGATCAGAATTAAAGCTATCTGGAGAATCAAATTTAGTAGTTCGAATCAGTTTAATTCATTAATTATGCCGACATGATCTCAAACTCTGGACGTGTTCATTCCACAAAGTGATTCTTTTCAGCAACTCGAGAAACATCAATTGTGCTACCACCCAAACACAAAGCTTGTGCATGATTTAGATTTAAACCTCCATCTCATTCAAATTATTTACTCTATTTTCATATCAGAGGTGCATTTATAAGGTGATGGAATTAAAGTGACTTTAAATCACCACAAAGAATGTACTACACGTGATTTACAAAAATCATGCGACTCAGATTGGTCACCAAACATGAAATCAGTGATTTATGGCCATTCAGGAATGTAATGGACCTAAACCCCAACTCGCAGCACTAAATTTTAGACCCGGACTTTATCCTGTGGTCCACAAAGACTTTGTGGGCTCTACCACAGTTACACTCTCTACAGTACTATTTGGAGGAGATGAATTTAACATGGGGAGGTGGGGCAACATAACTTTACCATAAGATCTCTGCATTGTTGCATTGTTTACGCTCAATTCACATGGGATGAGTAATTTCTATATAAATTACAGTAGAGATGGTAGTGGCCATTCAATTTATTCACTGCTGTAAAACCCAAAAAAAGGCTGCTCAAAAGTAGAAAAGCTACTTAATTTATACGTAATTTAGCTTCTCCTAACCACGTACCTAGCTGTCATAAGGGAATGCAATGTGTTCTGTCATTAGCTTCAGAATCTACAGCCAGAAGTCAACATTGCCGCTCACGATTAAAAAATGTTATTGTGATTAACTGCATTAATTCGTTTAGTTAATCATGATTAATCATATTTGTTTTTGCTGAAATTTGTTGGGCTTCAGGGTGGAACTATGGATGGCTGGAAGGGGGCAAAATGTGCTGAGTGTTAAAAAATGTTAACGCATTTATTTTGACAGCAATGCATTTGGCGTTTTAATGTCGCACATTTGAGGTAGAACAGTGAAATGGGAGTCTGGCAGATATGAACAGGACTAAACTCATTTAGGAATGTCCATAATGATTATATTAGAACACCTCCCCATGAAATAATCCCATCTGAACAGTACATATGACCACACAAGCTCAGCCTCAGAACCCATCAATCAAGCTCATATTTCAATCCACTGGATGAAGTTGTTCTAAACTTGTCTATAAGAGGCAAGTCATGTTTAAATGATGGGTGAACTCAACCTTAACCTAAACATCCACATGAGATTTTTACAGATATCTTATTAGATCTTTACAGATATGTTCATTCAGATTATAGAACTTCATAATAATCACCAGGGCGAACAAGAAACATCTATTGGTCATGGCAGGTTTGACAGCTGTGGTTAGAGGCAAGAGTCTTAGATCTACCAATGGCAAAACAGCCTTTCTCCAGTGCTCATATCTTTGATTTGTGACTGTGTGAACTGAAAAAAAAAAAATCTGTTTTCAGATTGAGGGCTGAGAGAAGCGGATTTTGAGTGTTCACTGGGTGGAGTAGGTGCTCACTGCGGTTAACACACCACACACACACACATGCAGAGAGCTCAGTTGTGGTCACCAAACCCTCGTACTGCCTTACCTTCAAGTGTTCAGGGCCTGGGAGAGAGACACATTATAACAGTTCTAGAGTAAACAACACTAAACAAACAACACAAAGCAAGATGCATGCCACACAGGACGACACAACCAATGTGCAAACACATGCAAAGGCTTCACACATTAAAACAATAGCATGCAAAAGCTTGAGCTATGAGCTAGACACACTGATAAGGACGTGATGTTTTGACATTAGAGGTAACATGACTCTCGCATGACTAAATAATAATTTTAATATGACTGTTGCATGACTAAATCACACTTGGGTCCTTTTAAATCATACTTTGGTCCATTAGACATTAAAATGTTACATAAGCAACCATGCATGGCTATTCAAATGAGTCATACATGTGCCTAGCATCTGTATCTGTCTTTTTCTTTCTCCATTGTATGTTATTGTGCTGCAATTACATTTAGACCTTTACTTTAGCTTTCCAACGTTCTGCTCATCTTCCTGGGTAAAAGACTTTGAGATTTTGAAACAAAAATAAAAAATGTTATATAAATAAAATGTAATATCGTTATTATTACTGCATCAAAAGAAATAAGCAAATCTCAAAAGCTTCACCCAGCAATTTTGCTCTATTGCACTCTTTCAAACATCCAATAAAATATGCCTACAGAAACATATTCGATACGGCGAACGTTCCCATCTCTAATGCTGATTCATTATCCACAAAACAGTTGAATGAACTGTTTCAATACACATATCTAGGGAAGACGTTTAAAAACAGAATTGAGAAAACACAGAGGTGGCACAGTCGGATATGAGCGTTCACTCACTAATACGAGCTTGAAAACAGGAAGTGCACTGGTTAAACCTCCCACTCATCCTGACCTAGGCGTCAACCAGAGGTCTTCGAGTCAAGCTCCCACAGAGGAGAGGGCACAGTGGTTTGTATATAGAATATACAGCACTGGGTAAAACATATAGACACCTGAGAAAATTAAAAATAAATATTTATCCAGCCAGGGAGCATTTATTTGTTCAGAAAAACACTTACATTAAAATTAATACAAATAACATTATGACCACCTCCTTGTTTCTACGCTCATTGTCCATTTTATCAACTCCACTTACTATATAGGTGCACTTTGTAGTTCTACAATTACAGACTGTAGTATCTGTATCTGTATTCTTCAGTGGTCAGGACCTCCATGGACCCTGACAGAGCAGGTACTATTTGGATGGTGGATCATTCTCAGCCCTGCAGTAACACTGACGTGGTGGTAGTGTGTTAGTGTGTGTTGTGCTGGTACGAGTGGATCAGACACAGCAGTGCTGCTGGAGTTTTTAAATACCTCAATGTCACTGCTGGACTGAGAATAGTCCACCAACCAAAAATATCCTGCCAACAACATCCTGTGGGCAGCGTCCTGTGACCACTGATGAAGGACTAGAGGATGACCAACACAAACTGTTCAGCAGCAGATGAGCTTCTGTCTCTGACTTTACATCTACAAGGTGGACTGACAAGGTAGGAGTGTCTAATAGAGTGGACAGTGAGTGGACACAATGTTTAAAAACTCCAGCAGCACTGCTGTGTTTGATCCACTCGTACCCGCACAACACACACTAACACACTACCACCACGTCAGTGTTACTGCAGGGCTGAGAATGATCCACTACCCAAATAGTACCTGCTCTGTCAGAGTCCATGGGGGTCCTGACCACTGAAGAACAGGGTAAAAGGGGGCTAACAAAGTATGCAGAGAAACAGATGGACTACAGTCTGTAATTGTAGAACTACAAAGTGCATCTATATAGTAAGTGGAGATGATAAAATGGACAATGAGCGTAGAAACAAGGAGGTGGTCATAATGTTATGCCTGATCGGTGTATCTGAAGTGTAATCCAACATTAAGCGTCTTATAGATATTTAGGTGGTTCCTAACTTTTGACATCCTGTACATCAAAACTGTATTTGGGAAACATTAATATCTTCTACCCAGATGGACCAATCAAACCAAACACACGCGTCTGACTCCACTCCAGTCCACTGATGTTCACCAGGTAAGAATTAGATGAAGCCTCTAGTACTCTGATTTCATGGAAACATTTGGGTGGTTTCACATCCTTTACCTACAATCAAGGGACAGCTCATGAGACAAAGCCAGAGATATGCAATGGTGGGCTGAATGCAGGGTTACAAACTGGACAAGCACAACAGGACGTTTAGGACTAGTGGGGTCTGTTAGGGTGTGGGCTATTTAAAAAAAGAAAAAAAAAAAGAAATGAGGGTTACAACAAGCAGAGCAGAAGAAGAACATGCTAGAACTATAGCTACAATGAAACACAAGCAACAGACAGCAAGACGGCTGCAGCTACAGTACAAACGAAACGACGCAAAAGCTACAAAAAGAGCACAATAAACACAAGACGCTTGGTGCTAAGCTGGATGAACAACTGGACTCAACTTACAGCTCTAAAGTCTGCAAACGCAGAAGACGCAGTTACGGCAGATCTATTGGACTGGGACAAGGAGAAAGAGTCGTGTGGCTTTCGAACGTGGGGGGCAGTGAATGCTTGGCTACGAGCAGCAAGCCCTTTATGAGCTCCTGCTGAACTTGTGCCTAGAACAGTTCAGAGAGAACAGCCATTACCATTACAACAAAAACACATTGTGGCAGGTAGCTCCATTAGCAACATTAATACAGGGCCTCAAACATGACCATGGGTATAAAAGTGACGCATTGTGACTATAATCTATAACATTATTTAGTAAAGAATGCACTATTTTTTAAGGCTATTTTCAAATGAAAAGTGACAAAAATATTCCACATGTTTATACTCCACTACTGTAAAAATAGTTCCTCCAGTCACATTTGGGTAATTTATTTTAAACAATTCAGAAATGTACCAAAATAATCAATCATATCATGCTGTATTTAAATGAAATATCCTGATGCATTCAACCATTCCCCAAAAACATCTTATATTTACATCCCTAAAAAAACTCCTACATAAAATCAGGATAAATCATTGTTAATTTGCCCTGTGCATTTACGTGACCCTTGAATAACATGCTGAACTGAGTTAAGGTCTTGGAGTTTATTAAAAGGCTGGTTGCGGTGTACCAAAACCAGAGCAACGGTTTCATTTCTGCAAATGCAACAAACTTTCAATACCAATTACAACGCCCTTGAGCCACCAAAGCAACTGTTGACAAACACAACAAAAGCTTGTTGGGCCGCAGGCTTTGCGGTACACACAGCGTAGTAGATGCTAAAAAAGAAAACTTGCACAGGTCAATGAACTGAAATCAACATTAACTTTTCTGAGGAAGAACCTGGGGTGTTGACATGTTCTGAAGTATTCTGAAGGAAGGTAAAGCATCAGTGCCAAATATCACCTAAGAATGCAGGGTGAGTGCAAAAGGTCAGAAGAGAGCCGTTTCAGGGTGTTCGAGGGACGACCTCCGTTTTCTCACGACCAAAACAGTATATGATAAAAGGGGCGTTATTTACTGAAAGTAAGAGAGGAAATAGAAAGCACAGAGAGAGAGGGAGGGAGCGTATGCTGGCATGGACGCTTTTAGCCAGCCGTGGGAAATTCACATCGCGCGCTGCTCTGGAGGGTGTGAAGTGTGCACGTCGGTCAAACTCTCACACTCTCAGCCTCTCTCTTTCTTTCTCACTCTCCTACTCCATCTCCTCGTTTCCTCCGACTCTCTGATAACAGCAGAGCACTGCTGTGACCCCACCCATGTCTACACTGACAACACGAAAACAAGCAAAAACAACCCAGTGAACACGGCCTCTGTCCCACATACATCAAACAACATAATACATTGCTCCCAGCACTGTAAACACATGCATGGAAGGTCAAACCAGTAAAAAAAAGACAATACTACTGCTTCTTTCATGACGCAGAAGAGCATTACATCAGCTTTTGTTTATAACAATACAGTATTTGCAGTATCTCTTCAAGGAGGGGCTGGGGTGCTTATTTGACAAATATTTAAACCGATAATCGTTTTTTTTGTACTTCAGATGAGCAGAACATTCAGGCGACGCTGGGCTCCTGCGCTAATCCAACAATTCAAATCTATCAGTATTTCATTTGTTCACTCTTTACCTTTTGTGCATCCTACTGCCACTTTTACTCTTCTGACTAACTGAAACTAACTGAAAACAGCACAAAAAAGATATGTGATGCTTTACCTCATGAACTTCACTGTTTGTTGTAAGTATACTCTCATTTTAGATCAGATGCAAAACATTCCAAAAAAGTTGGGACAGGAGCCTGTTTACCACTGTGCTCGTTAGGGCTGCACGTAAATTTTATTTTATTTTTTTATCTTTATTGCAATATGAGTTTCCAAAGTTAAAAGCTAAAAGCTGCGATGACAGAGCAGATCAAATTGCCTCATACATGTGGCACCAGAAAGACGTCATATCATTGCCAGCACAAACAGTTAGAAGCCTAATAAATGCTTCCCTGCATGGGGAACGAGTAACTTAACCATTAGGCTAACAAGCCTGTAAAATGCATGAAACATTAGGATTGTTCGAACAAACCAATATTGTGTTTTAAGTGTGCGAGGCAGTCAGAGGCACTTTATTTCAATAATAATTTATCACTTCTCATATTGTCATCAAGATATCCAACAATTTAATCGAACACTGCATCTGCACCCTACTGCTTCCCTTTTAATAACACTTAATAAACATCTGGGGACTGAAGACACCAACCGATCCAGTTTGGGACTTGGACATTTTTTCACTCTTCTGTACATGAGCTGTGCAGCCACACAGGGCCTTTGTTGTCATATTTGGAGCTTAATAAGACACATGTTTTCAATGAGACAGGTCTGGACTGCAGTGGGCCAGTCCATCACCCGCACTCTCTGATTACGCAGCCATGCTGTTGTAACACGTGCAAAATGTGGCTTAGTAATGTTATGTTGAAATACGCATGGGCCTCCCTAAAAAAGATCATCTTTTAGCATCTAATAGGCAGCATATGTTGCTCCAAAATGTGTTCAGCATTAATAGTGCTTTCACAGATGTGCAGGTTACCCACTAATACCCTCCCATGGTCCTATTTTTCTTTGGCCCAGAGAACCTAAGGTAATTATTTCCATAAACAATCTGAAAAGTTAATTCATCAGACCACAGTACACATTTACAATGTGCCTCAGTCCATTTCAGATGAGCTCAAGCCATGAGAAGTCGGCAGCGTTTCTGGACATTGTATGACTCCCACTGAGCATAGCACAGTCTTAGCTTTCATCTGTGGATGCAGTGACAGATTGTGTTTATTGACAAATGGTTTGTCAAAGTATTCCTGAGCTCATGTGTGATACCCATCACAGAAACATGCAGAGTTTTAATGCAGTGCTGCCTGAGGGGCCAAAGGTCACGGGCATTCATTTGTGATTTTTCCTCGTCTTTCTCGAGATTCCCTGAATCTTTTGATATTATGCACTGTTAAAATTCCTGGATGAGGTACATTATTTTAAAACTGCTGCATTTTTTGCTGATGCACTTTTGGCAAAGTGGCGTGTCTTCACCAATCCTTGCTCATAAAGGACTAGGTCTTTCTTGGTTTGAGTTGTACTGTTTCATTTTATTTAAATGCAGATCAAAGCAGATTTATAAATCACTGCTTTCTGTTTCTGCATTTCACTACTGTCCCAACATTTTTTAAAATTGGGTTTGTATTTTTTGAGAAGATTAGACTTAAGACAATCTTTGCATAAGGAATAGGAAAGTCAGTTCATTATTTGGATTGTAAGAAACAGAAAATGCAACCAACTTTAAAGACTGAACTTTGGAGGTGTGGAAAAATATCAAAAATTCCAAAAAGAATGGAAGCTGTAATAAAGGCAAAGAGTGGACATGGTAAATACTGAAAAAAACTGATATTTAGTTGTTGAGGCTTCTGTGTAACTTGCTGTTAAATATATGCTTTTTTTTCCTATTCCTGAAAAACATGAAAACATCACATATCAGCACTGGCATATCCCATAACAGTGAATCCCTTAGAATAATACTGAAGATATTAACACTATGAAATAACAAGGAATTAGGAGGTAACCAAAAAAAATCAAACTATATTTTAGATTTTGTCAAATTAGCCCCCTTTTACCTTAAGGCAGTTTTACTCTTGGTATTCTCTCCTTTAGCTTCAGGAGGACACTCTTGGAATGCTTCTCCAAAAGGCTGGAAAAAACTTCACAAATGACCTTACTGGCAGCTGAAAATTACTTGTTTGGGGGGGAGGGGGCATTAAAAAAGACTACTACAAATTTCAATTTAAATACAGCAATCAATTCAGGAATGGCTATTTTTTATTTTAGTTATATATTTCAAGCATTTAAGCATTAGATTCAAGTGTCTTTAAGATTACAAAAAAATACATTCAGTGAGGTCCAGACTTTTGACTGCTGTAGTATATAGACATGCTTTCACCTATACTTGAGTTTACTTGTATTCCCTTTTGGGTTTGTGGTATGATCAGTTGCCTAAACCAAGGTTCTAAGGGGCCGTCCCGCCTGGTTTAAAAAGGGAAATGGCACCTGGCACTTTGTTCAGAATGAAACAGCTGGATGCTCTTCAAGGAGAGCCACTTTCTGCCGTATTAATATGAAGGCTCAGTTTGCACTCATATTGAGGGTTGAAGGTCAACAGGTTGAACTCACAGGGCTAGTGAGCAGGACCACAAACACAAACACATTAAAGAAACCACTCACACACACCTCCTTGTTAGTGCTCACAGGTCACAAGGTTAAGGTTGTGGCTCATTGGGTTGTCACCCAAAAGGATGCCAGTGCAAACTTTGGGTGGAGCACCAAGCATGCTGACTAAGAACAAAAATGCTGCAGTTTCTAGTGTCCTGCCCTTCCTCTCTAGCAAAACGTTTCACCCCAAGTTTCTCTGGGGGTGCTGCACAATAGTGGCACTAAGGTTGTTAAAAGATTCAGTGATCTGAAAGTGCTGACTGAAAGTGCAGATCAACTATAATCAATTATAATAACATTAAATAAAGTACATTTCTATGGTGCGAGTACAAGTTCAGCTTGGACGCAAAGCCTAAGCCTTAACTTGGACTCAAACCCCAGAGACTCGAGACTCCACTCACACCCCACAGACTTGAGACCTGACTCGCATGCATAGCCCAAAGACTCGAGACTCAACTCAAACCTTAGACTCTTAAGACTCAGTTTGGACTCGAACCCCAGAGACTTGAGTCTCGACTCGCACTCCAGAAACTTACGTCTCGACTCGCCCCCCTGAGACTTCAGTCTCGACTGGCACCCCAGAGACTCAAGACTTACTCGGACTCAAATCCCAGACACAGGTCTTGATTTGCCTTGCCCCACCAGAGACTCACACGCATACCCCAGAGACTCGAAACTCGACACACCCCAGAGACTCACAGCCTGACTTGCGCGCATAGTCCAGAGACTCAAGAAACTTCCCAAAGAGTCGACAACTGTCTTAGACTCGCATCCCAGAAACTTAAGACTCGATTCCCACCACAGAGACTCAAGGGTCGACTTGGACTTAAACCCAGAGACTCACAGGTCGACTAAGACTCACATCCAGAGACTTAAGACTTGACTCGGACTCAAGGCCCAGAGAGTCGACACTCAACTTGCACCCCAGAGACTCAAGACTTGACTCACATGCATATCCTCGAGATTTGAGACTCGGCTCGCACGCATACTCCAGAGACTCGAGACCTGAATTACATGCATACCTCACAGACTCCATACTCAAGCGACAGCCCAGAGACCTTGCAACCCAGAGACTCCAGACTAGACTCAGACTCAAGAGACTCAAGACTCAACTTGCACCCCAGAGACTCAAGACTCGAGTAACAGCCCAGAGACTCGAGACTTGACTCGCACGTGTACCCCAGAGACTCGACACTTGACTCGCATGCATACCCCAGAGACTCAAGACTCGAGCAACAGCCCAGAGACTCGAGACTTGACTCGCATGCATACCCCAAAGACTTGAGGCTTGCCCCAGAGTCAAGACTTGACCCACTGGATACCCCAGAGACTTGAGATTTGAATCTGACTCTCACCCCAGAGACTCAGCTTTGACTCACATGAATCGAATTTTAAACATTCTAGGTCACATACTGCGTATAATTGGGCACAACCAATACTCAAGCATTGAGTACCAGGCTATTTCGAACAGAGCCATCTTCTTGCCTCAGAATGTATTAGATGACCTGTGCTTTATGATCACCTTCAGTTGGTCTTCTAAAATCTATAATCTGATTAGATCTTGACAAACATCAAGAATGTAACCTCCACAACCACATGCTGCCAACAGGCTTTTCATTTTCCATGAAGTTGCTACACTATCAGTACATTACTGACATACACACACAAGCTTATCTGAGCTGCACAGTCGCTCTGCTGTGTGCACTGATGTGCAGATGCTAGATACCTTTAAAAGGGGAAGTGCTTTTACTTTCAGCTATCAGACTAAGTGAAGCATCAGCTGGTGGAGTGTATCAAGGCCTGTCGTGATGCTGTGCTTGCTTGACTTTTGGGAAATCTCTGATCGCAGATGTGGGCCAAGAAACGAGTGCCTGAAAAGGGCTGAAGCAGTTAATTACATTTCAGTTTGCCACGTGTCTTAAATGGGGTTTTCTATGAGGAACTATTGTACACTACTGTTAAAAGTTTTAAGAGGTTTTATTCAACATTTCATTTCATCTACAGATCTGTTTATCATTCTGGACACACTATTTTATTCATGTATTAATTTAACAGCTTCTGAACTTCCTACTAATTGCATTGAATCTACAAAAATGCACAGGACTAGCCTGGTAAATTTATTTTATCCATTTATGGAAAACCAAATCAGTTTTGTATTATTAAAAACAAACTTTTGAACAGTGATTCTAAACTTCTGAACAGTAGTGTAGGTAAGGAGTGATGGAAGCTTATATCCCATCAATTAGCACTGTGTGAACTAAATCATCAGACACTGAATCACCTTAAACCATTTGGACTAATCCCAAACAGATTTTGCTTACGCAGTGTAAAATTCAGGTCTCAAGACAGCTGTTACAAAGGTTTTAGAACTGCAATGTACTTTTGTCCATTTTTAAATTTTATTTTTATTCCAACAAAACGTACACATGTACAGGTGTTTAAAGACTGAGACCAACTGACTGAAGTGCTCTTGTTTGATGGAATGAAAACCTGCAGCCACATTTGGCGTTTGCGGATAGGATTGGACGCCCCTGTGGTACAGTATCAAAGATTAGATTAACTCAAATGGATGCCAACATTCGTGTGTTGGCTGAGTACATTCCGGGTCAGGGGAAAACAGGGTAAACTGGTGCATCTAGTTAAATTTTTGATAAGGTAACAACTTGTGAACAACGGTAGCACTATCAAAGTGCACAGTGCAGTAATATGCAGCTATGCCAGTCTCCAAATCTCTGAGATTGTCCTAGAGTTTTGTGCTTTTTCAATAATTACTTAGAGCTTTTATTCGTGATATACTGCTTTAATGAAAATACAATTATATACTGCATATGATTATACAATATTAAAATTAATTGTTTAAATTAATCACACCACACTGTAGAAACACTAAATAAAAGGTAGATTAATTCCATTACACACATGCGTGCACACACTTATACTTGAAACTTACCATACGGCGGCGGTGCTGGTCTGGCTGGCACAGGTTTTTTGGGAGGCGGCAGAGGGTAGGTTGGTTTCCGGCCTAAAGGTTGCCCACCGGAGCCCTTTAAAGACATTAATGTTTGATGCAGTGGCAATACTACGACAAATGGGCAAAAATCTCAGTCAACCAGTAGACAATAAAAGTCAAGATGGTATTTACAATACATGTAAACATGTAAAATGAATCCAAACCTAATCTTCAGCATAAGAATAACACACAAAAACCTTCTATGAATAGAACTGCTAAAAAATCAAAGGTAATTATCAGAACAGGGATGCGCATTCAGACTATTTGTTATGCAGTAACTGTAAGCGGTAATAAACAGATTTGTCTGTTTATTACCTCAGTTTGCCTAGTTAGTGAAAAAGCCCTTAAAAAAAACTGTAAAAGCTCTCAGTAAAAGCTCTGTTATGTCCTTAGAAACAGATTATTGGCAACGTGCTGACATGTAAAAACATTACGAAACTGTCAGAATTTTTTAAAATTGAAATAAAAAAAATTTTCACTGAATTGTTGGCCTCTATATTTTCTTTTTCTTTTACTAAATAAACATAACAAATAACAATGATGCAGTATTCAGATACGAGGACTTCACTTGGTTAACCAAGCCCAGTTGAGAACTGAATCCCATTTGACAAATGACAGTCAAGTTAGTCAGTAAAGCACTTTTAACTAAAACTATTTGAGTCTGTTTAATAGTTGACCACATTAAATTACATAACCCAGTATTATTATCAGGATTTTTAGAATGTTTAGTGCCAAAAAGTTACTTTAGCACTGCCCTTCATTAAATGTCTCCTGAATGTTAACGTTAACACATTTTGATTCCTTCAAAAGGCATAAGCAGGCAGTTATGGCAGCTACATAGAGGTACGTAACTACTGGTGGTTCAAAATGTACTTGTGCTTTCCTGTGGTCAGATGAATGAATGGACTGTTTCAGTAGTGACCTCCCTCCTACCTTTGACATATTTCCAAAGTCTGCAAAGCTGGTCTTCCCGCCAAAAGAGTCGCTGCCGAAAGGGTCCGTTGTAGCAAAAGGGTCTACAGAGAGAGAGAGAGGGAGAGAGAGAATTATAAACTCTTACACAGGTAGAGTGGCATTTTTTCTTTACCATTTTCTCCGTTATGGAAACATCCACAAACACAACAGCAACAACGTCAGTAGCAGTTCAGTGCCACACGCAGCAGCTGCAAGGCTATTTTGGGAGCTTCACTGTAGCCGCACTGTTTCGTTTTCCATGACTTTCTACTCCTGAAAAGTCTGCTTTCTGTTCTCTGTGCGATGCTGATGACGTACATTTGTAATTAACTCATTATGGTGTTAAGTGGGGGCAGTGTTCGATAGACCATGGCAAACAGCCTTTATCTAACCCTGCGGTGCACAGGTTATGACTTCACGAACAAACCTGCAAATGGAGACATGAAAAAAAAATAATAACTGTGACACAATGTGCTGGTTGTGAGAGTGACCACAGAAGTGACATTCACAAGAGCTGCATTAGAACACATAAGCAATGTCTCTGGGTGCGTGTTTATTCCATGCACACTACATGTGAGGGAAGGTGTTTTAAGCCAGGGGAGCTGGAATTTTAAGCAGCATATATACGTGGCATACACAGTGATGTCATGCAATAATACGTGCCAATTTTTTTTATTTTTGTTTGCATTTGTTGGAATATTTACATCAATGTTTCATAATGTTGTGCAATCTGGTGAGAGCCGAAAATATACACAAATACCTGAGAGATTCAATCCTTAAACCTACACCAAGTGCGATTCTACAATTTTTTGTATTTATTTATTTATAGTTGAGCTTGTAATTGGGCCACAGTTCCTGTTCAAGGGCTTCTCTTATAATATCTTATAATACATGTTATACTGTTTATTAAGCATCGGCCACACTACTGATATAGCTAATCCATAAATTATTCTGAGAGTTTTACATTCAGTTACAGATAATAAACACCAATGAGCCAAGACATTATGACCACTCACAGATGAAGCGAATAACATTGATTATCTCGTAACAACGACGCATACCAAGGTCTGGGAAATAGTAGACGGTAAATGAACAGTCACTTCTCATAGTCAACATGTTTAATGAGGGAGAAATAGGCAGGTGTGAAGACCTGTGTGGCTCTGACAAGGGCTGAGTCGTTATGGCCAGACGTCCGAGTTGGAGCGTCCCAGAAACGGCAAGGCTTGTGTGTTGCCTAATGATAGCAGTCCAAGGAGTGACAAACCACAAACTGATGACAGGGTGTTGGGTGCCCGATGCTCATCAATGCGCAAGGGCAATGAAAGCTATCTAGTCAGAACTACTGCAGCTACTGTGACAAGTACATTTTTAATGAATGCTACAAAAAGAATGTCTCACAACACATAGTGTGCCGTGCCCTGCTGCGTAGCTGCAGACCAGTCATATTGCCCATGCTAACCACTGTCCACCGTGAAAAGTGCCTACAATTGGGCACGTGAGCATCGGGTCACACCAGGGGAAGTTTACCAGGGGAAGTGATGGCTCCAGGATGCAGTGTGGGAAGGAGAAAGGCGGATGAATGGAGTGTGATGCTGTGGGCAACGTTCTGCTGGGAAATATAGGTCCGGGCATTCATGTGGACGTCAATCTGACACATGCCATTTCTCTAAACATCACTGCAGACCAGGTATACCCCTTCATGGCCATGGTATTCCCCAATGACAGTGGCGTCTTTCAGCATGATAGTAGATGTCAGTCCGATTCTGTGGGATGCACTGGAAAATCAAACCCGAACTGAAGCGGCTTCAACTCACTACTTACAGGACTTAAAGGATCTGCCGCTAATGTCTTGGTGACAGATACCAAAGGGAACGTTTGGAGGTCTAGCAGAAGCCACACCTCAGTGGGTCTTGACTGTTCCGGCAGCACATGAAGGAGAAACAGCATTTTAGACAGCTGGTCATAATGTTCTGGCTCATGAGTATATATATAAAAATCACGTGAGCAGTGAAAAAGGTAACAAAAGGGGTCCAAGTGGTCGAGTATCATGTCAAAAACTGCACTGTTTTCCAGGTGTTCTGACTTATCTGTTACAAACCTATTGCTTTCCATGCCAATGTCAGAAGATTAAATGTATTCGAAATTGAGACTCCTGCTCAACAAGATAATGCTGTTCTCAGTATCAGCGGTCATTGCTGCATACACTTGTACTGTACTCTGGACACCTAAACTTGCTTGTGTTTTAGCAGCACACTCCTAAAGAAATTGCCAGTTGACAAGGAAAGCAAGTTGGCTTGCTGTAATAAAAAGCAGCATTTCTTTAAACAGTGAACAGCCACTCTAGATTTTGGAAATACATAAATAAAATTTTACATAAAAATAGAAAATCCACCCTAAAACCAGCACACAAGTTTTTTCTATGCTCAAGTTATTTTAATTTTGAGTTCTATCTTTTCTTTTTTTAGTCGTTGCAGTTAAACAACCCTTAAATTGGGCACCTCAGCACCCCCACTTCCCACGTCACTGCATACATGCTAATAACGCAGAACACATGCACTAGTGTTCATACTAAACAAGGTATTTGAGGCGGTGTGGGATTGTGTGTTTCTCATAAATTGACCATACTTCCTCAGTGAAGAAATGGAAAGAGAGTGTACCTGTTCAAGACATATGGCATGCGAGAGAGAGACAGACAGAGAGAGAGAGACAGGGGTAGATCAGTGCAGGTGAAAGTGTGTCTATGTTCCTGAAGAGTTTTTCTGCTCCAACACGTTAACGCTCCAAGGTTTTCCGTTCTGTTGGCCACAAAGCCAGGCCTGTTTTTGCTTGAGCTATTTTGGGGAGAGCAGGAGTTATTTGTGCAGGTAAAAGCCCTATAAATAGCCTCAAGCCGCAGGAAAAAGTGAAGCCCTGCAGGTAAAAACTACAGACCACCACAGTTTAAAATAAAAATGATGAAACATGCACTTTTATGAACTTTAAAAAGAGAGAAGTGTTCTTTTTGTGGAAGCTTCTAGCACATATTACATATATCTGTACCATGGGAAGGTTTAACACAGTACTAGCCCATAAATCATGGTCAGTGATGACAGAACTGTTCCATACTGTGTACTCTGACATTGGTTGGGATGAACTAACATTGAAAGGGAATTCCACCGATTTTGCTAAATTACTGTATTTTATATGTAATGTTGATATCGGTAAATTAAAAAGTATATATATATATTTCTTATAATATCATTCGGTGAAGTAGGCTTTTACAGCATTAAAATACTTCAGATGCCTGGTTGCCATCAAATCACAGTGAAAATACTAACTCAGTAAGCTTGCCTAGAATGGAGTATTTCACATCAATCCTATCTGAATGTCTGTTTACATCTTGAAGATTTAATTAAGCAAAAATGTAAGAAAATATGTGAAATTCCTCTTAATATTGTTATGGATAATGTTGAAGGGCCATATCTTAAGTTCTGTTTGCATATTTTTTCGAGGTCCTCTTATGAGCATTTATGTACCAACAACATTTTGAGATCAATGGTTTATATCAAGATAAAATATTATTTTTATATTACCATTTTCCAAACTCTCTTTATTCCTCAGAATTAAAAAGGCTGTTTTTGAGACCCAGGCAAAAAGCAGTTCAGGATAAAAAATTCTTTATAACTTCAGTGCTGTAGTTCAAGTCAAGTCAAGTTGAACTGCTGCAGGCTGAATATGTATGCAATATACAGTCATATGCAACAGTTTGAACACCCCTAATCAAATGACATTTTGTTGAATTTCTAAGTGAAAATATCCTCTACAGAAAACACACTGCGGCACATTTCTGCAGGTCTGAGTGCACAATTTCTATTTATTTGCTGAGTTTAACATATTGAAAAGAGATAAAAAAAACAAACAAAAAAAACATATATAACAATATAAATGTGCCATAACTTTTGCACAGGCCACAAATTATGCTGTTTTTCCAAAATGTTAAAATCCCAAATAAACAGTAACTGAGCTGTGTAGAGAATGTGTTAATTTATTTTCACTTAGAACATTAACAACTTGACCGGGGCAACTTCTGCATACCACTGTAGGTAAAAGAGTTTAAATGAGCTTTCATGACACCACAAACACAGTTCATTTACAAAGGACTGTACTTAACTTAATCTGCTTGAAACTTCAATAATATTTATATACTACATCAAACTAATTAAGGGGGAAACATTCAGGTGTCGTCAATACAGATCCAACATATATGTGTATGTGTGTGTGTGTGTGTGTGTGTGTGTGTGTGTGTGTGTGTGTGTGTGTGTGTATTTGCTCAATAGTTGTATAAAACAAATTTGGCCCAAACAAACAACTGTCGAGTGAATAGAGATATAGGTTGAAAAATGACAACGCTGGAGTGTTTCTTTAAACTAAAACTTTAGCAGGTGAGTGATAATGAGTGAGCAGCAAATGTACAGTACCTGAGTCTTTGAACTTAGAACTGCTGGATGTAACACTCCCCTGCCTACCAAAAGGGTTGGCCTGCAGAATGAAAGGGGAAAAAGAGAAAATGCGTATGGTATTATTTTTTCATGCTTCAGAGAAAAACAACAGTAAGTCAGGAAGTTCCCCAGAGTAGTCTGTTCTTCTCTAAGCAACCTCAAATGCAAAAAAAATGCAAAATGTTTCAGCTTTCCAGTGACAAAGCCTCTTGCAAACAGCACTGTGGCACTAGAAACACCTGTGCATCTGTTCAGTCATGCAATTATACATTCAGCCAATCATGTGGCAGCAGCGTAATGCATCAGATCATGCAGACACAGGTCAAGAACTTCAGTTAATTTTCCACATTAAACATCAGAGTGGGGAAAATGTGATCCACGTTACTTTGACCGTGGTGTGGTTGTTCTAGACGGGGTGGTTTGAATATTTCATAAATTGCAGATCTCCTGGGACTTTCCTGCACAACAGTCTCTAGAGTTTGCACAGAATGGTGCAAAAGACAAAAACCATCCAGTAAGCAGCGGTTACATGATGAGAGAGGTCAGAAGAGAATGGCTAGAATTAATCAAACTGATAGGAAGGCTAAAGTTACTCAAACACTCATTACAAAGGTCATTGGAAAAGCATCTCTGAACAAGCAATGCATTAAACTTTGGGATGGATGTGTTACTTTGGCAGAAGGCCATATCAGGTTAAACTCCTGTCAGCAAAGAACAGCAATCCGAGGCTATTGTGTGCCCAGACTCTGTGAAATTGGACAAGTGAAGACTGGAAAAAACATCACTGGTCTGAAACATCTTGATTTCTGCTGCAACATGCAGACTGTGAGATCTGAATTTGGCATAAATAGCAGGAATCCATGGACCCAACATTAGCTGGTGGTGGTGTAATGGTGTGGAGAAGGTTTTCTTGGCACACGTCAGGCCCCATAATTCCAACTGAGCATCCTTTGAATGCCATGGCCTATCTGGGTTTTGTTGCTGACCATGTGCTCTCTTTATGGCCACAATTTACCATCTTCTGTAGGGTACTTCCAACATGATAATGCACCTTTTCACAAAGTCATCTCAAAGTGGTTCCAAGAAAATGACAATAAGTTCTGTGTGCTTTACTGTCCTCCCAAGTGGCCAGATCTAGTATCTTCAGGAAGTGGTAAAGCAGGAAACTTGCAGCATGAATTGACAAATACGCAGCAATTACATGACGCAATCAGGTCAACATGGACCACAATCTCTATGGAACGTTTCCAGCACCTTCCTGAATCCATGTCATAAATGCTCAAGAATTCAGGCTGTTGTGAGAGCAAAGTGGCCGACAAGCATAATTCTCCATAATTTACCATCAGCTATGAAGCTGTTTTTGTCTGTTGCAATAGATAGATACATTTTATGCAACATAAACTAATTTACATAGAAACCACTCCAGATTCAGTAAAATAAGCACTTACACTGAATCTGGAGTGATTTCCACACAGATTTATAGGTGCTGAGTAAAATAAGATATCTATCTATTGGAACACATACATAACCAAGGTAACATCCTAAGCAACATATATAGCTTCACTATTGACAGTACAACATGAAGAAGTATGGAATGCAAAGTCAAGCTGTTGTAACCACTATGATCGCCAGCTTCAACCTTACGCTGTTTTCATTTTCATTAAAATGGCCAAACATTGCAAAACTTGTGCATGTGATCTGCACCCTTGTTTAGAATAACAAGATTCAATCACTAAGCCTCACGCACTGTATCATATTACAAAACAAGCCTGAGATATCAAAACGCAGACAGTCCAGTGCAGCACTGCAGAATTAGGTCACGTTTTAGATTTTGAACCTGATTAAGGCATTACCTCCTGAGTTTCGAGAATTGTCATTGCTAAGAATGACACACAGAGATGACTGGGCATTAATACAGGAAAACGCACATGAGAAAGTGCCAACAGTGTCTCTTTCTTTTAATAGTCACCTTTAAAGGGCTGGCAGCGCTTTTAGCAAATGGATCCGAGCTGCTGAAGGGGTCTCTGAAAGGATCGTTCTGTTTGAAGGGATCACTGCCAAAGGGATCAGCTAAAAAAAAAACAACCATATTAAATACATAAGGTTTTTACTTAAGATGCCTTTACACGCTACATAGTATTTCCATAATGCAGATTCAGATGATCGAAGCTTTACTTCAGGATCAGAAAATTAGCAGAACAACATCATATATACACACTCCTGGGCAAACAAAAACTAAATAAAAAAAAAAAATGGGCCAAGCCCAAAACAGCAGACCATTAAGCTTTTAATGATTCTAATAATAAATCATTTAAACAAATAGATCTTTTCTCTGTGATTTCTTTAAATGGTGAAATTGTGTGTGTAAATCTACAGACAACCTCTCACAGAAAGAGTCTGTTTAAATTGAAAAATGCTGCTGAGCTAGTTTGTGTTTAATGTGAGAAATGTTATTTATTGGGTTTAAATCTGGACTGACCAGGCCAAAACACTGAGTAAAAACCATTATATTTTGGGCCTGGCCCATTTCTTTGGCCCTGGAGTGTAAGTCTGATCCCTTGAGAGAATGTGTTAACTTATTTTCACTTAAAAAAAACCAACAACTTATAATAGGGGAGCATCGTTACTGTGATAAGTCACGTCACAATGTGCTTTTCTAGACATATCAGTACTTAAAGAACACAGACAAAGAACTGACAACTGCATGTTTCATTTGAAAGATAGCACAAATAGGCCTGTTTCATGGAATGTAGTGCATCTGAAATGCTGAAAAAAAAATCACTGCACAATCATTACACAAATCATAAATTTACGCAACCACAGAAAAACTAAATATTATGAGGCATATTGTGTATCAAGAAAGCGCCTTGAAGTATTGTGATATTATACTTTTGCCCACCCCAGCACATAATAGTAGTTATTATGTCAACACTCCAGCTTTGAGTAGCCATATTTATAAAGCATCTAAGAGATGCATCTTTCAAAAGCCATTCTGTTGTTTAGCCCATTTCACCAATATGCACCCAGACATTTTCCCCTGAAGCCAGAAAACCTGAACTGATACTTGTCTAGTTTTCCTTCTGGCCACATTTGTATGTCTTTCAGCAAGGCATTAGCTTTCCCAAACAGAAATTTGATATGGATTAAGGAGAACCCAATTAGATTTAAGTAAAGCCGGCTGCTGTCTGAAGGCAGCTATAGTGACTAAGGCATTTGATTCAAGTAAAAAGTGAAGGATCACAAGTTCATTTGAATGCCCTTATATACATACACCTACCCACAGCAAATACCTGCCATCATATATTTAACACTCTAAAGAAACCATCTAGTGAAAAATCTAATTTATACAAACACAAACACAGTCAATCAGGGAAGACATGTTTGGTGAGTGAAGTCTGCATCTTTGGATTTAAAACCCCATTTCCAAAAAAGTTGGGACGCTGCCTAAAATGTAAATAAAAACAAAGTACAATGATGTGCAAATCATTTAAACCCTATATTTCATTGAAAATAGTACAAAGACAACATGTACAAAACAGTACAAAGACAAGGTGTTGAAACAGAGAAATGTTATTGATTTTTGAAAAATATATGCCCATTTTGAATTTGATGCCAACGAAACGTTCCAAAAAAGTTGGGACGAGGGCAACAAAAGGCTGGTAAAGTTGTGTAATGCTATAAAAAAAACACCTGGTGGTTAATTGGCAACAGGTCAGTAACATGAGTGGGTATAAAAAAGTCTTTCAGAAGTAAAGATTGGGAGGGGTTCACCACTCTGTGAAAGACTACACAAGCAAACCAAAATAGTGAAATAGCAAATAACTTTTGCTTTTCATCATCTACGGTATATAATAACATTAAAAGATTCAGAGAATCTAGAGAAATCTCTGTATGCAAGGGACAAGACCGCACAGCATTAAAAACAGACCTGATTCACTAGTGGAAATCACTGGGCTCAGGGGCACTTCTGAAAACCACTGTCTGTGAAAACAGTTCACAAATGCAAGTTAAAACTCTAAAATGCAAAGAAGAAACCATATATAAACAGGATCCAGAAACGCTGCCACCTTCACTGGGCCCAAGCTCACTTAAAATGAACTGAGGCGAAGTGGAAAAGTGTCCTGTGGTCTGACAAATCAAAATTAGAAATTTTTTTTGGAAATCATGGACAAGACCACTCAGCTTGTTATCAGTGCACGGTTTAAAAGTCAGTGTTCATGATGGCATAGGGTGCATTAGTGCACATGGCATGAGTGTCTTGCACATCTGTGAAGGCACCATTAATGCTGAACGATATATACAGGTTTTGGCAACATATGCTGCCATCCAGACAACGTTTTTTTCCAGGGAAGGCCTTGCTTATTTCAGCAAGACAATGCCAAGCCACATTCTGCATGCATTACAACAGCATGGCTCTATAGTAAAAGAGTCCAGATGCTAAACTGACCTGCATGCAGTCCAGAAAAGTCACCCACTGATAACATTTGGTGCATCATGAAATGAAAAATACGACACATGAGCCCCCGACCTGTTGAGCAGCTGAAATCCGATACCAAACAAGAACAGGAAAACATTCACTTTAAAAACTACCGCAGTTGGTCTCCTCAGTTCCCAAACATATAAAGAGTGTTGTTAAAAGGAGAGGTGATGAAATACAGAGGTAAACTTGCCCCTGTCCCAACTTTTTTGGAACGTGCTGTTGGCATCAAATTCAAATTGTTTTTTATATTTTTCAAAAAACAATAACATTTCTCTGTTCTTTGTAGTATTTACCTTCAGAAATATGGTTTACATGATTTGCATATCATTGCATTCTATTTTTATTTACATTCTGCAAAGTGTCCAAACTTTTTTGGAAATGGGGTTGTACATTGGAGCTGCAAGGTTAATGTAGCTAACAAACAACAGAAGCATATGTAAACTAATGAGCCTCAATGAAACTACATAACACATATTTGCATACTGTTAAAGGGGAATTCCACTGATTGTTCAAAAGTTCTGCATAATCACATGGTTAAGATGTAAACAAAGCCATTCAGAGTGGTCTGATGTGAAGCTCTAAAGACACTTACAAAGTCAGAATTGTTCACAGCAGTGGTGACAGGAACCAGACATCCACTACAACAATTCAATTACGCATAAATATAGAAAAACTGGTGGAATTCTCCTTTAAGTAATCTCACACAGACAGTGTCAGAACTCACATAAGCATGCATGTATGACAAAGTGTTAATCTATAGAAAATGACAAAAATACATCACAAAGCTAAAAACTGCAAGCGGCTGCCATGTCTATTTTTTCCATTCATGAATGTATTTGTGCTTGTTTTATAGATAACATTATATCATATAGTGTCAAAAAACACATAAACAAGTCTATTTATGATTATGCAACATCTCTATTTAGTTTGACGCAAGTGTGTGGTGACGTGGTAGCCTGCGTGATGCTAACTGGAGATAAGCTTCTACTACTTGTTTGTGACATTAGCCTTATAGCTCCTATGCCAAATTAAAGAAACTTTGGACACCAAACTTGTCTTTGCTGATCAACAACATTTAGAGTGAAATTGAAAATTAGATTCATCACTAAAGGATCATAGTTGTGCTTCTCACACACAAAATGTTTAATGTTAGCCCCAAGTAGAGTAGTGTACTGATTTTGGGTGCCAGTAACTTTAAAATGCTGCATCAAAATAACTTCATCTTTGGTACATGCACAGTATGACACATTTTGAAGTGAACACTTTTTTTGGACTACGCATTGGAGATTACTGTTTTATAATGTTATAAATAGTTGCAACATGCGGAATTATTGTTTTAGCGCCCCCTATAAATTAGGGGTTGCACAGACTAGTCAACTAGCCCACTTGTGGACTTTACTGCTCAGTGATGCTGATGGTTTTATTTATGACATCTTCAGAGATTAGTTGACATTGACTCAGCTTTATTCACATAACTGTCGACTTTAAAAAAAAATCTGAAGTTCTGCAACTTCCACTATAAAAGTATGTTTGGTGTCAATCAGATAGTGTATTCTTGTCTTGCACTACTGTATTCCAGCTTTATGTGCTTGAACTCCTAATTAAAATGACTGCAAAAAGCCAAACCATTAGCTTAGGCAATAAATTTCAATTAAGCACACCAGCACACCTTAGGCTACAGTAAACATGTCTGGATATATGTTATACCCAGAAGACGGTGTGGTATATTACAGCACCTTTACTGAACGGGTCACTTCTGAAGGGGTCCTCACTCTGGAAGGGGTCCACGTTGAGATCCTGTGTGGGGTTAGTATTAAACATGGCCAGCTTTGACTTGAAGGAGTCCTCCTGAAACAGACACACCATTCAGAGATGTTGTTTGTCCTGCTCCTTGGTGCTGGGAAAAATATTATCATTGTAATGAGAAGGAGGAGAATAGCGCGCAGCTCAATTAACTTTGCCAGCTGCGTCACAAACACAGCCCTCATCCACTCATTTCCTGTGCTGAACAGGGGAGAGCTTATGAAGGTAGCAACGTCAAAAGGAGCATGCTTTTGAAGGGAAAAAGAGCCCACTGGATGGCTGTGTGGCATGGTTATCCTTCAGGGCTTCACGATATGGGCAAAAAGGTGTAATGCAATTACACTGCTGCACATAAAAATGCTTTAAATTTAATAAAATGAAAGCTTGCATTATTTACACCAAAATTGTTTACCATTGTTTGTCATAGACAGAATTTCTGTGGTTGGTCAGGACGCTCACAGCACATAATGAAGATGCTTGTGGTTTATTAAACAGCCCATCTGCATATTGCAGCCATCTGTGATACCATTTCTGCAAAGGCTAATATCATGATAACCAGTGGTGAACCGTGACTATTCAAATTAGGCCTTCATTTTGGGCCATACATGTCACTTGGGTCATACAACTCACTCAAAATTGAGGGAAAATTAACTCCTCTAAACAAATGCTAATTTCTGCTAGCTTCCAATAGGGATTCTAGTAGTATGTTGCTGCCTCTTTTTTCCAATTCTAACATCGGACTTTGGTCAGCCTATCACTCGTACTTGCCATATCTAGGACTTCCAGAAGAGTTATGGCTCCTCCACACAAAACTGGTCCTACTTATTGAAAATAAAAATGTGATTTCACTGCCAGTTCTTAATAATATTAGTAGTTAATCTGACATATTAAGCTTCAGTTTAGCTCCTGAAGTCCTAACCGGTAGGAGAGCTTGCTTGGATCTACCTAGATCCCACAAAGAAAAACAACTGTTTCCAACCAAAATTTAATGGAATGCATATTACTACAATACCTGCAGCATTTAAATACAAGAAGCATGATGACTCCATTAACTCAAAAGGAGCCAAAAATTACAAAAGACATGTATTTTTTCCTCTCCACAGAAATCATTAGGTCTTCTCTGAAGGCCTACAAGGACCAGAAAGTTCCCTACTGGTGATAACAATTAAACAATTTATTGAGTAGTGTTCTGTTGGTATCAGTCTTTTTGATTACACATATTCTCATATTTTACCAAGACAAGACTAATCAGGGCAAATCAGCTGTGAAAAAAAATGAAAAAAGGCACAAAGAAGCAGTCCCCAACAACTGATGGCAACAGCTTCTCTCATAGCCATTAGTTGTTTCCAATCAATAAATCTGCATTTTAACCAATACCTGCCTAAGTACAACTAATGTTATAGAACTAAACCTTAATACATGTCTAATCTCTTTGTATCACACTTTACACTCACCACAGTGGTGCTGGGTGTCGAACCCTCCTCAGCGAGCAGTTGGTCAATCTCAGCCAGGTTGCTCATGCTGCCGTTTAGAGCTTTGCTGAAGCGCTCAATGGATTTATTCAGTGCCTTCTGGCTCTCCTGGATCTGTGAGAGCTCACTCCGTGTCTTTAAAACAGGGAGAATACAAAAGAGAAACAGCTTGATCAACTACAATAAATTAAATGGAACAGAAGAGTCATTTCTGAAAACTTGATGCTTTGATGCCCCTCTACCAGGTGAAAGACCATCTAAGACAAAAAGTATGAATACACTACCACTCAAAGGTTTGCATTCACTTGCCATTAATTACTGTTAATTTATTAAATAGCAACTTACACACTGCAGATCAAAATACTGACTCACTTTCTGACTTTTGCAGGTCACATGTTTTGTTTTTTTCCCAACCTTTTAAATTCAGCAAATAAACAGTAGCTGTGCATTAAAATGTGCAGAAGTGTATTCTCTGTAGAGGATTTTCAAAAACAAAACATGTCACTTGACCAGGGCACCCAAAGTTTTGCATGTGACTGTATATTGTCAGCAATACAAGCTGAACTGGTGAAACTTTTTAATGAGAATAACTGTGGAAAAATGATAATAAATGGTGATAAACAAAAACCAAAGCCACAAAGAATTTTGCCACCTCCAGCCCAGAGCTATAATATTTATACAATTTAAGACTATTAAAGCCTGTTTTTGCTGTTAATTTGTGTTTAAGAAGTGTGACAATTGAGATCTCACAATCAAACCTGTCACTAAACCTACTGAAATATAAAATCAGAATGCACAATATAAATATAAAATTATACCATCAGTTATCAGTATTTTTAGCCCCATAAAAGTGGTATTGGTCACAAAATGTTCATATTGATCAGGGTCACGTTCTTTAACAGATTCCTATAAATGATTTGAAACGTACCATGCTACACAGTATCAGCATCATATTAGGATCATTTTACACGTTTCTGAAACCAAATTGGTTTTATGTCACTGAAAATAGTGATTCCAAAATTTTGAACAGTTGTGTGTGGATGTGTGCTGCCTATAACCTCGTCCATCTCGTCCTGTGAAGTTTTGAGCAGTTTGAGGATGCTCTCTAGTTTGGCTTTGCCTGCGCGGAGGCTCTCCTCCAGTTGCTCTTCCTCCTGTTCCAGACAATACAGGTCTGTTTTGGTTCGGCTCAGTTCCTTCTGCTGTGTCTTTAAGTCTGACTCTTGAGACAGGATCTGTGTCTGCAGAGAGGAGATCTATACAAACACGCATACATACACATTTACTATGGGAGAAGAACAAAACATTATGGCAAATTACATGATAAAAATACTTATGTGAACTAGAATGGGTTAATTATTCGAAACAAATTTAGCATTAATTTCCCTAAGGGGGAATTCCATTGATATTTAGTTGTTAAGATGTAAACAAAGTCATTCAGAGTGGTTTGACGTGAAAAGCTCTATTCTAGAGAAACTTTTGAACTGTTCATGGTGATAGGAACCAGACATCTGAAGCATTTGATGTCTCTAAACTACTACTTCAGAGAAAACCACTGCATAAAGTGGTTATGAATATGCTGCCTGATGCCTAAGAGTGTTTCACAATAGTTTAAACATAGATATTCATTAAATACATTAAATACATTCAAGGCAGAGAGCCACATGTAGGCAAAATACTTGTAGTTCTGAGGCAAAATTGCCCCCAAAGATATTTACCACCAAATTGCAGTTATCAACATTACATATAAAATCTCAGAATGCATGTGTAGGCTCATTAGTCATTTTGGAAAGAAAATAAAATGACCATATTTGCCACGCCAACATTATGACTCCTGGTTCCTATCACCACTTCTGTAAAGCAATCTGTGTCAGTAGGTTTCACTACAATGATCTATTCCAACCATCTCAGCATTATGCAGTGATTTGGGGAAAAAAAAGACATTTGTAATAACAAAATAAATGAACCAAGTATTACCCTGTCATTTTAAATACATTTTTAAATGAACATGCACCATAGGTCAACTGATAGTGTATTAAAATGACATTTACATACATCTAAAATGTCAAAGACAAATCACTAAATCAAATCAACAATCAAATACAGATCATCTTGTTCGCTGGCTAAGCTTTCCATATATTTGTTTTTTTACTTATTATGAAATATTTTGTCATTGCCATATTGAAATACTATTTGTTTAAGTATACCTTAATAGCAAAAATTATTAAGAAGCTTATCCCTAATGTGGACCATAACAAATATAAAAATGGACCTAAAGTAGGTGAACTGGTCTTGACACTGAAAAAAGTGACACAATGGATTCACTTAGTTCAAATGTGTACATAATTTTCACACAAATAAAACATATTACATCAACACAATCACTGACAAAAGTAAGTAAATAGCAATACAAAATTGGGTTCATGTACTTTATTCATGTGGAAATTATGCACACACGCAAAAGAAGTAAAATCTGTGAACCATGTTTTTTTCATTCTACCGACTTGCCTGAATGTTAGCACTTCATATTCTTCTCAGTGACATCACAGTTCACTCTTTGGATGTTAACGTGTTGCTGCTCTCTTTCTATCATCATGATGCTCTCTGTCTTACCCTGCTGCTCTCTTCCGTGCACTTGCTCTTAGCGTCCTTCACCATGCCGTCCAGCTTGCTCCTCTGCTGCTCCATCTCCTGCAGTCTGTCCTGGGCGACCTGCTTCTGCTGCTCCAGGTCCTGCAGGCTGCTGTTCTCATGCTCCAGCTCACCCTGCATGCCCTGCAACAAGCGCATACATACACAGCAGGATTGCAATGGCAAAAACAAACTCAGCAGAGACCAAGTTATACTGTGTTCTCTTAGAGGGGAATTCCACTGATTTCTCAAAATTCCTACATAATTAAATGATGAAGATTGAATGATGCTAACAAACGTCAGAGTGGTTTGATATGAAAAGTTCTCTACCAGAAAAACTTAGAATTGTTCACAGTGGTGGTGATAGGAATGAGACGTTCAAAGCATTTAATGCTGCTAAAAGCTACCTAATAGAAAATTGTTAAATAATTGGTTACAAGTACATTACATGATGCGCGAGTCATTGTTTCACAGTAGTTCTGAAATGAGCTTTTGGTCTAAAATACAGAATTAAAAAAAAAATCCTCTCATTACAGAGATGCACACTAAGGGTGTTAAGGCAAAATAGCCCACAAAGAAGATTTACATTTATTTCACCATTATCAACGTTGCATATAAAACTCACTGGTTCACTGGTGGTTTTGGATAGTAAAAACTGGCTACATTTGGGTTGTAGACATTGTGTCGCCATTGTGTTCCTATCACCACGACTATAAAGAAATCGGAGTCGATAAGTTCCTCTACAATAAACCATTTCACATCAAATCACTCTGAATAACTTTGCATCTCAGTTGATTTTGAAAAACAAATTGGTGGAATTCCACTTTAAGTATTAATAAAGCAAGAAAATGGTTGAGTATCAGATCAAGCTTTACATGAACTTCGTTGTTCTTCTGTCGAATGGCCTCTTCCTTCTGTCTGATCTCCTGCTCTATGCTGCGCTTCTCACTACCCCAAGAACACCACACAAAAATTCAGGGGTTAAATTTACAGGATTTAAAGCACAGTGATTGTAAACTGCTTTTCAGACTGTTCCAGGTGGTGGACCAGTAAAAACAATCTGAAAACAAGAAAAAAACCCTCAAATCAACAATAATTTATTAAAGGGAAATTCTGGCCTAATATTAGTGTTTGATTTGCTATTTGTTGTGCTAAGCAGTATTCTGTAGTGCTGCATTATATTCCTCAGTATTCACAGTTCTATATCATTTTCATACTTTTGTACATGAACAGTCTTGCTACAGTGCCCAACATGCATTACACAAATACATAATGCAACCACTGGGAATCTATTGGGAGCCTAGCTATTAAACGCTAACTCAAGTCTAACTCTAGTGTAACTCAAATAATCCTAACATAAGGTGTCTAAACAGCCAAGTAGCTACCTTACTAACGTTAGCTTTTAGCTTGTTGTCCTCCTCATCGGATGAGTAATTTCTATCTTTGAGTAATCCATTCTGTGCTCTATAACAATGACTTGAAGACTTTTACTACAATCCTTTGGTCACAAGAAGACATTTATTAGCTATCTGGCCTTCTTCTGCATTCACCAGCTATAAATGAAGCCCCCAAAGATTCATATAAAAGGAGATGTAGTTTTTCAGAAGTTCCTCCCACCTTCAAGATGCATCATCAGAAGGTCTTTTCTAGTCTTTATAATGGGAAATCTTACTCTAGACACTACAGCACTGCTGTAAGACATGGTTAAACACGTTTACAAAGGATGTAGCAATGGTTAAATTTTTCATTTTAGCCAGAGAATCCCTTTAAATGAGATCATTTTCTTATATGTAATGAGTTGCCTAAAATTTAGGCTACTCAGCAGATTTGTCTTTCTGTTCTTTTTGGTTTGCCATTACAATAAAACTGACTGGTTACACTTAGCTTTAGCTTATGTTGAAGCTATTTCAAATCTTCAGAGATTTATATAATGATATGAGAATGAGAACAACATGGAATGCTAATGATAGAGAAAGACAAAAGAATTCTTTGATTTTTTAGAATATGACTACATTATAATGGCTTACTACCAACAGAAATTTCATGCCCTAGCAGCCCACTAGAGGGCACTCATTCATTCACATGATGGAAAATAATTTAAGAGACAAGCATCCTCCATCTCACCTTTTCTCTATAGTGCACAATTTCTCTCACCTCTGCAACTGAGAGATTTCCTGGCTAACATCATCCAGCTCTTTAATTCCAATTAACTCCACAGGTGCGACTGTACTACTGCTGTCCTGCAGAATGAGAATGACAGTTAGAACTGAGCAGTTTAAAAAAACAAAAAAAAACAAAAACAGAAATATCTTCACTCATGCTCACTTTTACCCCAAACAATATTTTGTTTGGTTACAAAAAGCTATAAAAACAGACTGCCAAAAAAAACTTGCTGTGCATCTGAGTAAACACTAGATGGCGGTATTGAATGCAATTCCACTGACTGATGCATCAATGGGACACAAAAGGATAGAGTTTGAAATCACTTACTCTGGACACACTGGACACAGACAGTCCAGCCAATTCAAATCCTACTGATGAGGAGAAATCGGATGAGATTGTCTAATCAAAGAGAGAGAGTGAGAGAGAGAGAGTGAGAAACAGAGAGAGAGAGAGAGAGAGAGAGAGAGAGTGTACAGGGAAGAGGGGAAGAGGGAAGTGTAAAGGGGAAGGAAAAAAATAGATGTTTATGAAGAATATACGGTTTGAGCAACAGAAATGATTTCATAGAACTCTCACCTCTCTGACCATGATAAGGAAGTATGTTAGGGGCCATGTTAGCACTTTCTGAACAGTTTAAACTGTCTACATAATCTTACATTTGCATGTGGTCTCTGGTGTATTTATAGGAAATCATGTGAAAATTCTGTGTGACTGTTGTTTGTGTGTGTGTGCGTGTGTGGGTGTGTGTGTGTACTCACAGTAGAGGCAGAGGAAGCAGCAGAGCCCCTCTCTGAGGGGGGAATCATTTCAGGTGTAAGGCTTTGTGGAGGGTCAACCCCTTTGACCTTTTTCTGGATAAGATGCATGGCTAGACAGAACTGTTCTTTGGTCAGCTTGCCTGTGCATTTAGTATCTGCCAGTGACCTGGAGAGACAGACAGACAATGAAAAGGTTTATCAGGGATCATAAGTTGAGTGGACTCAAGGTGTGAACATTTTACATTTTTAAATGTATCGGGGGAGGATTTTTACCCAATTGTCTCCCCAGTTTAGTCATGCCCAATTTCACCCACTACCTAGGTCTCCCTTTCTACATCTTTTCAAATTGCCACTGACACAATATCATTGGACAGCTCAAGACGCTTGGAGGAGAATGCCAACTGCCTGTTCTGTTACATCAGTTAACAGACGCCAGCTTTATTACACTCTCTTGTACTCCCAGCCACAGATGGCTGAGGCATTGCAGGGGAAGTCATGATCTCCCAATGATAGGGCCCACATAAATGCAGTTGCACCACTTTGGAGCCCCTAAAATTATTTTATTTGAAGAAATATTTTTTTATGTAAAAATAATGAAGGGGGAGCTGACAGTATTCAGTATATTATTAAAAATAATAATAAAATAATAAAGTTGTGGGCTGTATGGCTATGGATTTGATATAATTCGCATCTTTAGCGGTTGCAGTACATATTATTGTATATATACTTTTTTCAAAATAAAACCATTTCATTTTATCTTATTGTGCAAAATATATAACACAAAACAGTATATAGGTAAACGTTGCCAATACTGCTTTCTAACTGATTTATAGTTACACAATTGACTTCACCCTAGCTCCACAGGCCCGGAGCCTTAATGCTAAATGTTTTTACCATCTGAAGAAGTTGGCTTTTTTATTTGGCAGCTTTTTGTTAAAATTTTATGTTCCACCTTAATTGGAACAGCAGTTACATTCAACCAGTCAGTCCTTTATATCCACTGCCTCGAAAACAAAGTGCACTACTTCAAATGCAATGGACTACATAGCAGGAGGTCATCGAGGGTCTGCTGCATTTTCATTTTCATTTGATTGAAACATCCCTGACTCAGCCTCTTGGCTAATTGGGATAATGTTAAAATGGTTTACACTAACATACATTGCGTTATCTAGACTTATTTGAAGTCATACCAGTATAACGAAACTCATACCTGAGGAAGAATTTGAATTAGCATACTGGATGAACCGGTATACTTTATGTACTCTGTCTGATAAATACATCTTTTTCACTTTTTTCGTCTTTTGACTGTCACTAAACTTAAATATTTGTACTATCTATAGATATGGGGCAGGCGGGGAACTGCACTGTATGCTGGTGCCTTACCAGATGTGGGCCAGCACACTCTGGGGCAGTCCTGAGTTTATGAATATGTCCTTAACTTCACCTCCTCCCACCATGCCATCAAAATCAGAGTCAGCCAGCTCAAAGATTTCCTCGTACTGCTCCCTGTCTTCCTGAGGCACCACCCAGTTCACTGAGACAGGCTAGAATACACATATACACAAACAATTACACACACACACACACACACACACACACACATACAAACTTTTATTTACAGCTCAAATATTGCAATTCCAGCATAACAGAAAAGTCTGGAAAAAGGCAAAGCCCTTAAGGTATTGCAGTATGCAGAAAGTGACAAAGCCAGTACGAGTACAAAAGGAATGGGGTGTAAGGACATGAACAAAATGTGGATAAACTGGTTTGGCCACAACTGAAGGGAACAGGGCATGGAGGTTTGAAACAGAAGTTCAAGCCCTTTAGAAAGACACTACAGCAAAGCGTGGGCATAGTTCAGTGAGCCAGTGGGACTTTACATTTACTGTTAATTAGGACTACACGAAAATGTGGTCCCACTTTTTTTAGTTTATATCAGGGCTTCACAGTATGGACAAAGTGCTTGCATTGTAATTATGCTGCCTCATACTGCACTTATGATAATATATTAAAAACTCAATGTTGAACCAATAATGTGACAGTTTCAATGCCCAATTAATGAAGCAATTCATCAAAATGCCCAAAGAAACATTCATCTGTTATCTGTGATTGGTCAAGACTGCCACAGAAAAAAGCAAAAAACCATCGATGCTAGCCTTTTGTGATCAGTATTGCAAATGCCAATGTTCGCCTAACAAACTTAACCACAAAGGATTGTGCATCCTTAGTTAATATGGATGAATATTAACTGGAAAATCTTAGCTGAGGACATACTTCAACATACTTCACTAAGCATGGCACAAAGCCTCATTCAGTTCAGCAGGTGTCTGATTATATCAGGCATGACTCAACACAGTGGCACAGTGATCTGACTGGGTGGGAAAGTTTGTCTACCCTGGGTGGCAAAGTTTGTACAACTGCTCAATTACTTTGCGTAAAACACTTTGAAAAAACCTATGTTTCTATTCCTAGCCTGTGTTCTATGGCTGCACAATAAATAATTTGTTAATCGTAAACAAAATATTGCCCTTTGTAGTGTTAATATCACTGAAGGCTGCAATATGCAAATGAATCTGTCGACCAAACACAAAGGGTCGGTTTCCCAGGAAGGGACTAAACTTTGCGCTGGACTACACAGCATTCTGAACTGATGTTCTCCAATGAAATGGAAGCGTAGTGCAGGACTAGGCTTTATCCCGGAACAGGAAAATGGCCCTATATGTTTTACTTTGTGCTACTGTTTGCTCCTCATGCTCAAAAAAGATACAGGATTCAATAATATGTTACTAATGTATTGTATATGTCCAACTGCAATTCTTACATAGTCACTGTGCTCTGTGTTCATTCACCTCTAACATCATTACTGCCTTTTTACTGTTGCAATTACCTCATTTAAGGTTTTCAATACCTGTAATTATGTCAATATATATGTACCTGCAGTGGTGCTGGGCTGGGGACTGGACTGGGGCTGGAGCTTCTGAACGAGTTTGATGGTGAGAGATTGGAGGCAACAGTCAGAGGGCTCTTGGAGAGTGGCACTGTGGATCGCAGGGCATCCTTCATGAGGAAGGGGCTGGAAGGCAGCACAGGAACAGAGCCAGGCAATGCACCCCCTGTCTTCTTCCGCTTGGATGGAGGAATGAGGGTGGTGGGAAGTGTGGAAGGAACGGGTTCTTTCTCTCTGGCTCGGTAAACCAGATGCATGGCCTGAGGAGAGCAAAAAAAAAAATACAAGTGTTCTATCTAGCAACCAGGCTATGACTAGGCCTGTCACACTTAATACATGACCACCTAATCGCAATCACAATCATTTTCCAAAGTCATTACATTTCACAATCGTATTATGCAACAACAAGCAAAATAAATAAAAGAAAGCAGTAAATGATTTAATCGAGATTTCATGGGGCTCATGAAAACAAAGTAAACTCTAATTTATAACTTGGTGCTGTAACTTATTTAGAAAGCAGCACGAGTCATTTTTGTTTATCTCTAGCTAAATCTAACATTTCTGGCATACATGCTAGCATAGTGAGTGGCTTTTTTTTGGCTTATGTTTTAACGCTCAAGAAAAATCGTAGTTTTGCTTGACTACACCTGATTCTGTGTAAAAACACACATGTTTGAGTGTGTGGAATCTCACAACAGTATAGCATATCACTCAGCAAGATAATCAGCTAATCTAGCCACTTTAGGCCCGTACTTTCATTAGTTGCATACAATGAACAAAAAAGACAATTAAATCTTTAATCACAACCATATACGTGACAATTAATCATCCGCTAAAATTTCATGATTGTCACAAACCTAGTTATGATCTTTATTTTGCCACAAAAATCAAACAGAAGAGAAAACTCTCAAATACTTTACACACCAAGCATTTCCACAATAAGCTCTACCACTTACTGATATACAAAACAGCTTTTAACCGCACCACTGATTTTAGAGGCAAGTCATTTGCATTGACACACTGTAAAAACAAAGCTTGGTGATGTATCCATTTAGAGCACAGCAGAGGCATAACCTGGTGGGTCTAAACCACCTTTAAATTATTTCACGACAGTTCTGAAAGTTATTCATCGATGTAAACATAGCACTCATTAAGGACAGCCAATTACATGTCACCTATGAGATCTTAATTCGAATTAAAAACATTAACTTATGAGGCATACTTTCATGTGTTCCTTATTTTTGCTGTATCAAAAATGCACTGAAGCAAGACACCAAAGTTAGTCACAGAATATATGATAAATCATTACACCTTTACATTATTGACATGGACAGGCTGGCTGAACAATACAATGAGCCTTAAATAATTTAATCATGTTCTAAGCACCAACATTGAAACTGCTTATATTCTGCACTTAAGTGTCCAATTACTGTCAGGTATTGTCCCAAACAACATGAACGCATTGTATTTATAAATTTAGGGTTACAGATTACCCAGGGATTAGCCTGTATTTAGAGTACTTTCTCACACCACCGATAATTAACACCAGGCTACTTTACTGTAGCAAAGGAAACAAATAATTGGAGGCACTGTAGTTTATTCAAATGTTCAACTCACCACTGAAAACTCTTCTTTATCCAGATGCCCATCTTTATCAATGTCGCTGAGATCCCAAATCTGAATTTAAGGAAATAGAACTCATGAGGCACCATTTATTTCTACTAAATCAACAGTTCTCAATTTAGTCCTTTGGGCTCCCAACCAGTATACATTTTTGTTGCATTTGAACTCAGGGTATTTAGGCATAAATAGCATTCCATAGCCCTTCAGCTAAGTTTTGGAATAAAAATGTGGGTTTCTGAGGACTACACTGAGAACTACTTCATTAAATAACAACATATCTGCTAAAGCAAACCTGAGGAGCAATACCACTAACCATCATTTATAATGTAACAGCAAATAGCATTGAGTAACGTGTAACATACCTTACCAAGGACATCCAAGGGCAGGTTAGAATTAATGAGGACTGGTTTCACCTTATCTCCTGAGAGAAGGCCACCGACTGGCAAGAGACTCTCAAATATCCCATCATACTTCACTTTGTCATCAAACTAGTTGTAAAGATAAGACGGACAAATATAAGGTTGACGTCTTTAGCAACTATGTGTTTGAGACCCATGGAAATGCTAAAGGTGAACGGTAGCAATGCACTGAAATGAAAATTCCTGGCTGAAACCGAAATTCACACCTGGACAAAAACCAAAACCAAAAGAAACAAAAAGAAAATTTTTTAATTTGCTGTTTTATTTGTGCTTTTGAATAAACATACTAAACATAAAAACTACAAAGTAATAAAGAAAACCCTAATTAGTGATAAAATCAGATTTCAATAGGACAAACTGAGCATGACTGAGCATGAGCTGAAAATAAATAAAAATGATATAAAACTAATAAAATGATAACAGTATGTAGGAAATCTAACTTTCCTAAAAACAGAGAACAGCTTGTCATTCAAGACAATGAATTCCATTACTTTTTAGTTATTCTTTGCCATTCCGCGTTGTCGGTTGTGAATTTTTTCCTAATTTCAAAAACTGTGGCTACAGACAGCGTTGTTTTGTAAGCGGGGACTTCCCTTTTTACTTCTGTTGTTTTGCTGTATTTATTGTATTGGGAAGGATGTAATGTTTTCAAGTGAAATCAAACCTGTAATGGGGAAGTTCTTGAGCAGTGTGCCAGGATAAATGTGATTATCAGTTGTTTGTCTAATGTCCCTTGTAGAAACCATGAAACAGTTCATGTTGCTGTTTTTTCCCCCGTTAATCTATTACTGCTTCTCGTTCTGTTTCAACACTGAACAGCACATGAGAGCGACAGGAAGAAAAACAGCATTTATAATCACCGGGTCTAATTTTCATAATCATTCAAATGTTTTTAGATGTTACATTTTTTGGAGTTCTATTTAATCTTTTGTTTTGTCAGCCATAATTTTTGGTCTTTTCTCTCTTTCGGCCAAAAACCTAAAGTGCCACTTTTAACCATTTTCATCAGACATGTTTCAGTGCATCCCTAGTTAATAGCTTCACATCTCATTGCCAATTTCTTACTATCAGGTATGCACAGTGCCTAAGAGTCAGCATTCATACAATTCTCTGTGCCAATCAAATTCACCATTAAAGAAAGAAATCTCACACAGTACCCATAAAACCTAGCAGAGATGATACTGACGCTGCACAATATCACATATTTTATCGAGCGCCTGAAACTTTCTGAACAAATCTTAGACATTCCAGCTGAGTTTCTGTTGGCGTTTTAATGAATCAAGGGATTCACATATTCCAAAAAACGTAAACCAATTTGGTAAAAAATGATGCAGAATGATGCAGAATGAACACTAATGTGTTGTAATAGCCTGCTAGTCACATCACGATCACAGCATTTAGCACCATAATTATGCTAAATATAGTGTGTATTATTATGCCATGCATTGTGAAAATGTTTATGCACACCAGCCCCTACACAATGCATAATGCATATATTCTTACCTTCACTGCCCAAGCAGAGTCACTAGAAGCTGTTGATATCAGAGATGGACTGGCTGTGTCTCTCTGTAAAACACAGTGCACTTAAGGACAAGGACAAAGGCAGATTCCATAGTGACACAAATATAAAGGCATGTACAAAACCTTTCCTATGTATTGAAATAATTTACTGATATGCAAACATTCTTTTGGTAAAGATATGCTTTTTCTACTATGCCAGAAGAGTACTGGACACTGCATTCCACCTATTTTCGAAATGCTTTTCTAAAATCCAATTATAAAGTAACATAATCGTCTACAGACAAGTGATATGTTAAAGGAAGAAACAATATATGATGTCCTAGTAGGGTGCTAAGCCACCAGAGTAGCTTCAGTGTGCCACGGAACAGATTCTACAAGTCTCTGGAAATGTACTGGAGAGATGGAACACCACTCTTCCAAAAGACACTGGCCAGCAAAATGGGTCCCCACACCATAACAGAGCCACCAGACCCTGTAGGGGTCAAGCATTCAGACCTGTACTGTTCTCTTGGTGTACACTACATACGCACTCACCTACTTGTGGAGAAAGTAGTGAAAGATGACTCATCTGACCATATCACTTTTTCCTCATCTCTGTAGACCTACTTTACATACCACTGAACTCTCAAATGTGTATCTGTCCTTGTAAAGAGGGGTTTATGCATCGCATCTTTACTATAATATTCTTCTATATGCAGTTTGCAAGTTCAGACCATGCCTTTAACATGTGGTGGTAGTATGATGGACGATTAACTGAAGGAGGGGGAGAACTCTGAGAACTTGGGCTGGAGTTCTGGGCAGTTTCTGCCTGTAGCTAGAAGGCCAGATGCCCCCCTCATAGCTGTAGAAGGACTGATGTAGAACTGAGAAACAAGGAATAGATGGGGTGGCGGGAGGGACTGCGAAAACTTTGTCACGGGAAGGTGAGGATGTGAATTTACAGGGCGTTAGATTGGAAGGAGGAGGGGTTTCAGGCATGTTTCTCCCCCAAACTTCAGTTATAACATCACCACATTTGTGCATGAACTGTCCTCACTGATCATGTCTCAGTTACTTGAGGAACAGATGTTCTTCTGTTTGTCCTTACATATTGCACTAATGCAAAAGCATCACAGTCATTTCCAACCTTATTAATTGATGCCTTTCCCATAGATCTACAGATGTCGCTTCAGTTACTTTTCCCATCAAAAGAGCCAGCTGAACAACCTTTGTGACTGAAGTTTCTGCCATCCATGCCCCAATAACAAACCCTCTTTCAAAGCTACTTTTCTTCTTGTCATTTAAACAAAAATCAAGGTTAACTGGACCTGCTCAGCATTTCTATACACGCCACAGAGCATGACAGAAGGCTGATAGCTTAATAGTATTTCGCAGTACACCTGTCTGGAAGCATCTGCACTCATTATGCTACTCCACTCACTTATTCAGGCCTTTCCTTTAAATATGCCACCTGTTTGTATAATCGCAAGGAAACTTAAGAGATACTTACAAATTTAGGGGTAGGTATTGACGTGGTCTGGTTTAGACTGCTCTGGCTGACATCATTGCCACTCTGTGCTGATGCCACTAGCCTGAGGGCAGTGAAGAAACCCTACGAAGCAAGAGAGGGTACGTTTAGAGTAACCCAAGAAAGAGTCAACATCATGGCAACCGCACAGTACTCAGTACAATACTGAGTAAAGTAGTTAATACAAAAATGTAACATTACTTTTAAGCCTTAGAAGGAAAAAAGGAAAGGCTGAAAAAGAAAGACACAGAGAAACAGACAAATACAAATATATTAAGGGAAAACAAACACAATGCAAAGTATAGTTTACCTTCTTGTCCAAGTAGCCCTTTCTTTCTGGGTCTGACAAATCCCATATCTGATGGAGACGAATACAAGAAAAGGAGATAATATGATATAGAACATCATCCTGTATAGACTAAAAGTTAATAACAGGATTTTAAATCAATACAAAGACATTAAGATATCACAATATTATTGAGTGACAGCAGAAATTGCTAAATAAGGTAAGCATTGGATCATAAACAATGGAAAACCCTGTTATGTATTGTACATGTAACTCTATTATCTGAATCACGGAACCATGACTACATTTAATGATGCAAAGTTCCTGTTTGATTTACCTTGCTTAGAGTGCTATCTGACAGGCCTGACTTCTTCAAGAACTGAGCCGCTTCAACTGCCCCGATTTTCCCTGTGTTTGCTGGATCCAACTGTAACAACCAATCAAAAAGGAAATAGACACAGGGTGGGATATTATATAGTGGGGGAGAGGAGGGGATAAGATGACAACCTATCAGCCTACATTAAATTTGGGCAGATTTACAAACATGTACAACTGTTCTATAAACACTAAAAAGCATTATCTGGCCTTTTCTGCATATTAGAGCAACTGGAAAAAAATGAAGATAAGAGATTTACCTGTCTGTAAAAGTTCTCATAGGCAGGGTTTCCACTTGATATCTACAAATGCAGAAAAAAATGCAGAAAGTCAGCCAAATAAAGGAGGGGAACTCCTCTCCTATTTCTCTTGGAAAAAAATAAGACTGTGGCTGTAAAGTTACACAAAACGGGGCAACCTGCACATTTAACCAACTGCATTATGAAGTGTAAATGTAAAGGATGACAAATATTATAACTGAAAATTTGCCTTTTAATGCCTGAAAAAGCATCAAAACTAAGATGACTAGTAATCATCTATATTTACTCAGTTAGATGGATTTGACTTAATTCTTCTCAAGTATACTGATAAAAAAATAAATCTGTTTTTCACATTTTAGTCATTAACATTCAGCTACTAATTATTTTTTGTACTTGATTTCATTCTGTTCTGTTGGTTCACCTTTTGTGGTCCTTTGCAATTTGTCACATCTGACGTTGTTGGTGCTTTGATGCATTTTATTTGAGATGAAAAGTGCAGCAAAAAGAGAAGAACAGAACCTAGCAAACTTCAGACTTTATACTGCTGGATACATTAAGCTCTGTAGTGCTTTAGTGCCAGCAGTTACTTCGGGAGTTTCTGGATTTGATGTTTACGTAGGTTACTTCTACTCGAGCTGTTCATTGGAAAAGTGCTTTTACGTCTTACTCGATTTATTGTTTCACCGATGTAACTTTTAATATTTTTACTTGAATATGATGTTAGTCTAGTCTGTACAACTCTGCGTACAAAATAAAGACAGCTCTGAAACTGCGTTGCAGGCATCTGTCAGAAGAAGGTTTCTGTCTGTCTGTCAGGACGACCCGGCTGACACTAACTGGAGATGATGGAGCGAACAGCGACCGTATTTCAAGTTTAAAAACTACACAAATGCCATTTTAAGCTGAATAACGGTAGACAACGTTGAGCTTTTGTGGAAAATATCCCACCCTAAAACAAATGACTTCACCTTGCATTTTAAACGAACTTTCCTTCTTAGCTGCCCAGTGCGACCTCAGCGCAGTCTGACAACACTGTAGCTTAGCAAGACACTAATTTCTTCATTTTGGCCATGAAAACAGCTCACACCGTCGGGCGAACTCAGCTTCGCCCGTACAGCAGCCATTGTGTAGTAAGAACATCATTATTTGAAGTCGTCTAAAAGCTCACAGCAGAGATAAAGAAGAAACCAAACTTTAAAAACATTACCTGAGTCAGTGACATGAGCGCCGCCATATTTCCTGCTTCTGTCCGCGTGCACGGCGCGCGACTCTAGAACGCGCATCGAAAGTGTCAGTTTCAAAATCAGTGAAAAAAATCTGTTTATGAACAACTATCAAACAAACAAACAAATAAATGAATAAAGTCAGGTTTAGCTGTCAGCTGTCAAAAATTATGATTTTTACAGAGAGAAAACTAGTTTCTCACAGTTAAAGAGAATAGTTGAAATAATGTTATGTTGGTGTCTCAGTTGGAATGCTAATGCCTGATTCCATTACTGCCAGTAGTGGAAACGACTAAAGAAGGAGGATTTTCACATGTGATGCAACGGATGTTTATTTATTTTGTCCCATTTTCTCCTAATGTAGCTAAAGCTAAATATGACTTTTCTCTGATGTGAAGTTCCATCAGCAGGATTGGACTGTACTGGATCTTTCGCTTCCACCAAGAATGCAGCCGTACAGACACCAGGGCACAGAGGGCACATGGCACAGCTGGGACTGAATCCCAGTAGAGTGCTTCCCTGGATCTTATTATGGCTCAGAAAATATTAAAAAGAGTTTTTTTTTTTTTTTTTTTACTTTTGATCTACCTGGACATTTGAACAACTTACTTTCATCATCATCATGTTCTACACATTTGTATAAGTTTGACGAGCTTACTGAATGAATTTGATGCTTATGTCTCCAAATAAATTCTTCACATTGGTACTTTAATGCCTGCCCTGCCATGGACTGGCGACCTGTCCAGGGTGTATCCTGCCTTCCGCCCAATGACAGCTGTGATAGGCTCCAGCACCCCACCGCGACCCAGAAGGATAAGCGGTTTAGATGATGGATGGATGGATGGTACTTTAATGCTAAGTGGCTGCATCAGCTTTAGTTTAGACCACACAGCTTGTATATAACAAGTTCCCTTCAAACGTGTTCAGTTGTTGCTATTTCAGATGAAACGTCTCCATCTTGTGGACACGTTTGGAAGTGCAAGCTCTCTCTCTATTTCCCTAATTTTTCTGTCATTCACTCGTTCTTTTATCATACTTTTGGGAAATAGGTATGACAGTTAGTAAGTGACTGTAATCATCTACAAAATACTCCAAAAGGTCAGAAAATGCGATAAGTAAATTTATTCATTCTGTCTGTGTCATTCTTGCCAAATCCTTTAAAAAGAACAACTTGCTGAAGCTGCAGTGGTGATCAGCCACTAGGGGCGCTACAGGTAGAGAAACGGGGTTTAATGGCAGAGAGTGTAGCTAAGCTAAATGAATATGTCTAACTGTGTAAGCCAGGGGTGTCCAAACTTTTTTTTCGAAGAGGGCCATAAATATGAGTCGAAATATTATTCAGATTCAAAAAATTAAGTTTTTAAAATATCAGCACATAGAATCAGAGCTTTCTGTGTGTAATACTGTGTTTCCTATCATTGTGTATAAGATGAATAACAAGACTTCTTTTATTGTTAGATTGCAAGCATTTGAAACAAATAATTCAATTCTTTAAGAACAGCAATAAAACATGTCTAAAGTATAAGTATTTTCCTGTTCAAGTGTTTCTTATACAAAAGATAATTTGTGAGACAAACTAAACAAAAATCTATATATATTTTTAGTTCTTTACATATCAAACAAACACTGAGACCACATTGAGAAATCACTTTATGAAATGAGAAGAGGAGATTAAACATAAAGCACAAACAGCCAAGTTTTTGTTCGGCCTTAAAGGGTTAATATTTACTGAACTACTGAATTTTCTCTGATAAGAAGACAGCTTGCAGTTAGTTGGCTGCAGTCTTGACTAAACGACATTCAGTAAATGAAGCTGCAGGTCTAGTCAGAGAAGAAAGGCTCTTAAACATCAGCTAACTTAGTTATCACATGTAGTAATGCTTCCACCATCAGGTGAAAGGAAGAACTGCAACGTACTGGCTGGCAGAACACTTGCACTTAACACATGTAACACACTCTTAAACAAGAGCCGCAGGCCTATTAAACAAAATCTGTCCGCAGGCTGCATTTGGCCCTGGGGCCGGACTTTGGGCATTCCTAGTGTAAGCAGCGAAGCCTCGTTTTGTGAGCAACAATCAAAGAGAACAGCTAACCTTGTCATTGAATGGTGATCTTTTATAATGACCATGGCTGTTCTGTATACAGCTTTCCTTAGCCTGTATTTCTCTTTAGCATGCATTCCAGTCAATGCTTATACATTAGATGAAGTGTGCTGTATTTCATGATTTCTTCAGGTTCTTGTTTCTCAGTACTCAGAAACTGTCCCAAATCTTGTCCCCCATTTTTCTTGTACCTTATTTTTTTCTTTGGGGTCCACTTCTGACACTTGTGTGGTTATATAGGGAATGGAGGAAGAACATATATATAAAAAGTACTGGTCACATCAACCATGCCTTGTTAACGACAGAGGTCAACAGAGAATGGCCAGACTTGTTTGAGCTGACAGAAAGACTACAGTAACTCAGATTACCACCCTGTACAATTGTGGTGAGCAGAACCATCTCAGAATGCACGTTAAACCTTGAGGTGGATGGACTACAACAGCAGAAGACCACGTCGGGTTCCAGTTTTGTCAGCAAAGAACAGAAAGCTGAGGCTGTAGAGGGCACAGACTCGCCAAAACTAGACAGCTGAAGACTGGAAACACACAGTCAAGTCTGATGAATCTCAATTGCTGCTCAAGCACACAGATGGAAGGGGCAGAATTTAGCAAGCCCAACATTATCATGGAAAAAATATATATAGGCTTAAGTATGGAACAGTAACATAGCTGAAAATGTGATTCAATATTCTTGGGCTAAAGCTTAGTAAACCATGTTTGGAGCAGATTTAAGATGAACGTCAGCAAAACCGCAGTTACAGTGACATCTAGTGGCAGATGTGTGATTTTTACAAGACAGCAGCTGCAAGACTTCAGCTAAAACTTATTATTCTTAGCCTAAGCTGGTGACAATGCAATTGCCTCAATAAATCTGCATCCCTGCAATAGTAAACAATATGCTGACACATTAAAATCCAATTAGTGAGTCGATTACTAATAAGTAAACCTCATTTCTGTCATCCAGTGTACTAAATGCATTTGGCAGATTTTTCTGACATCTCACTGATGGCATCACAAATGAATGATTCACACTGTTTTATATGTGGCTCCAAACAGAAGTCACTAATAAATGTATTTATTAAAACTTTGGCATCAATTATAATGACATACTAATAAGGACTGAGACAAGTTTCTAAAAAGTACCGTAGCATGTAGATAATCGTTGCGCTAAGACACTTTTTAGGAACTAGAACCGGATCCGTTTTAGTTACTAAACAGAAAACATCAGCACTTGGCCGAGTACAAGTTAGGACTTAAGTCCATAGTGGCTGTATTGGTCATCATTTTTCACAGTGTGTACGGACTGGGCTTGCAGGTTTGTTATGACTGTATGAAGGAGAGGGGAAGAGAAAAAAAAAAAAAAAAAACAAAAAAAAAAAACACAACAGCCACAACACAACCTCCCTAGAAAAAAGGCATTTTTGTGGACAATAATTAAAAGTTGAAGTGTACATCAACCAAATAGAGAACAATCAATCGGTATGAGGTGAAAAATGACAGACAATATTTCTGCTGAATAAATAGAGCTGGAACAAATGAATCTCATCTTTGTTTTTTTAAAAAAAAAAAAATAAAATAAAAAAAATTCAGTGCCAAATGGAAAACATTTCAATTCTAAATTACATACTGAACTACAGCACAAAAGTAACTAATCTCAAGTCTGTAATTCTGATGTCTTCGAGGATGATACAATCTTCTGCAAACATTCAGTCTCTCTCATGGATAACCACATTCTCACAGTGCAGAGGACTGCTTTCGTGAGGAATGTCGTGACCAGAAGCATCATGTATAGGCATTTAACCAGTAACCAACTTATTTACAATAGAACAAACTTCAAAAATTCATCCTTGTTTGAAGACTCCATGGTGTATTTATCACACTATGGAACTATGTGTATTTGCCATCATGGAGCGAAACTGATCTTTTGGGCAAAGTAACTGGCCAAAGTAGTATATGTTGTAACTGACAGTTTTTTTGGTGAGGTAATGGGACAAAACATAAACACCCCTTGCCATTTAACCCTATACCTGTTTCCCAACCCCACTCCCTTCCAAAAACAAACGAACCACCCCTTTATATTTCTTCAGATCTGACCTGGGAGTACTTCACAAAGCAGGACACAACTTAGGCCTGTCCAATAGGAAAAAAGCTGAGGGAAATTCCCACTGGACAATCCTAAACTTTGGGCTTAAGTTATCTGGTTAACTCTGATATTCTGCTTTGTGAAATACTCCTCTCTTCACAAAGCAGGATTTTAGTAGCTGAATAACTCAAGCCAAAGTCAAAAGGAAAAGGAATAAGTATTATTCCTGTTGGACGATTCTCACTTTCGGCTTAAGTTATCCAGCTAACAGAAAAATCCTGCTTTATGAAAATACCCCACTGCTGCTCTCCCTTCCGTCTCTATTTAAAAAAAGGTGACTGAAAGAGAGTCGCATTTCAAATGACATCGAATGCCCTGCAGTTGCCATGGAGACTGCAGAATATTGTACCACTTCAGAGTTTACAGTTCATCTTTAGGAAGTGCCTCATTCTCATCCCCCTCGGACAGGGACTCGTCCGTCTCCTCTTCCTCCTCCTCATCATCTTCCTCATCCTCTTCCTCCTCTCCATCGCTCTCTGCTGCCGTGTCCTGCTCCTTATTCTTTTCCTCTTCCTCTTTGCGCTTCTTTTCATCCTGCTCCTCCTTCATTTTCTTCTCTGGGCCCTGCAGCAAGACAGAGAAATATTTAGAGAAAAGTGTTCGCTCTGTTAAGTTTATGAGCAAACCTCTGCCTTTCAGGGTAAAAAGCTATAATGCCTTGAAGGAAATATGCATTAGTGCTTTTGAGACATGAGGCACAAGCGAGATAATCTGAATAGACTCAAAAGTAAGCAGTGCTGCCATAGTTTTACAAATGACTTAAATAATTATAATACATGATAAACTGCAAAACAATAAGCGTTACCTTAGTAACCCCCCAGGTTTCTTCTGCAAATTCCTCTGCTGCTTTCACATCGTCTGTGATCAAAAAGTTGTCAAAAATGGTACCAGACTTGACCTGAAAAAATGAAAAAAGGCTTAACTGGACATACAAATGTAGATTACAGCTCCTAGAAGCGGTTTAGTATGCAAAAGTTTGGATACCCGTGGTTAAATTAACCAACCACAAAAGCCATTACAGCCCATAAGAAGATTTATCACTTACTGTAAAAAGTGCTATACCAATTTTAATTGAATTTAATCAAATTTCACTTGACTAATCATACAACATAAACACCAAATAAAAATCCCTAAATTTTCTGTTTGTAGCAATTTCCCATGATGAAGGAATTCCAGATGATCAAAAAAAGAGAAACATTTTACATCGACTTATACTTACATGCATTTTGCCAAATCAATCACTCAAATTAAATGTTTAAATTAAATCAAAATAAATGTTTAGGTATTTCGGTATTAATTGTTAACAAAATAGTCAACAAAACATGTAATTTGCCCAGGGTTGTCGCTAAACAAGTAAAAAATAAATAAATAAATAAAATAAAAAAAAACAAAACAAAACAAAAAAAAACGCAAACTTTAAACCCATCAAGAGTCAAGAATGAGTTTTTGAAGCATATCGCAATCACAATATGTAGCAGTATACTTTTTTGTGTTTTGTCCATATTGTATCTGATAATGACATAAAATAGTTCCCTGCCAATGACACAAGCAGGGACACATACCTGCCAGAGATCTAACCCAAGGACTCCAATGTTGTCGAACTTGTAAATCTCAGTGTCGGGACTGTACTCAGGGTTATCAATCTCAGGGTGCACCCAGACTCCTTTGTAGTTGGGGTTATCGATCTGCTTAGGTTTCCACTCTCCCTGCAAGAATGAAAGGATTGTGAATCCACATAGAGAGCACATGCATCTGACACTAAGGTGAATCAGTTTGATGATAAACATATCCAAATCTCCCATCAACCTGAAATATCCGTAGTCATCTATCTACCAGTGACTGAGGTCAATCAACTTATAGGATGTAACCAAACCAAGTTTAACAATTAAAGAAAACTGTGGATAGGAAGCTTTATAACGAAGGCAGATGGAGCACATACCTTGTACTCTGGGTTGGGGATCATGGCTGGCTCCCATTCTCCATCCATGTCCTCATCCCAGTCATCAGGCTTCTTAGCATCTGGATCTGGAATGTTCTCAGGTTTGTCCCAGTCCTGAGGAAAAAAATAAAAAATAAAATTATATGTAGCATTGTTAGGACAGAGAATGCATCCATTCTGAAAGCAGGTGAACTTTTCCGTAGCATCACATGTAGCAGAGGAAGAAGAGACAAACAGACAGACAGTCAGACAGATAGATGCTTCTTTATTATTATTATTACTTCTACTAATCCTCCCTATATGTTAGCATTCAAAATATTTGAGTCATTTTTTCTATAAATAATTTGTTATACAGTATATGCAAAAGTTTGGGCACTCCTGGTGAAATAACGTTTTTGTTGATTTTCGAGGTGAACATAAGTTAAGACATCCTCTACACAAGACAAACACTTACATACACTTTTTATTTCATATAAAATAACAATGATGTTCTTTTGTAAGTATTTAGGCAATAACAAGAAGCTACTGAGCATTAAACAATATACTGTAATTAACAATTCATATGACCTTTTCTGTTTTCAAGTTATCTGCCTTGAGATTTGAAGTTCACTTTTGAAGTAAAAGGCATTAAGGATGTAAATTTTCTTATAACTTCATGTTGTCATCCTGTACATATATAAACTTCAAGCCGCACAGGACTAGCATATTAGAATCATTTATACATTTATCTGCCACCATACTGGTTTTAAATTATGGAAAACATTAATTCCAAATTTTTGAACACATCGTTTTTGGTGTAATTTTTGCAATCCATTGTGTGGACTCATTTTCAATAAGACTATGAAGAAAAGTTCTTTGGAATAAGAAGGAACGACCTTTAAAATGCATATACAGTACATCACAGGACACATTTTTGACATGGATAAAATATCTTTTTTTCACCAAGAAACCTTCTCTGTGTAATGGGTCTATTTACATGCAGTTTGGCTAATAAAAAACGAACCGCATTGTTGATAGTCAAAATCAGTAAACAATACAAGCACACCAGAGTGACCAGCTGGGCACAGAACAGTATGTGCTGACTTTATGAGCGCCTCCCCACATTTTAATATCCAATAACAAAGAGACAACAAATGCTTGGTGATTGGTTAACTCAGTCCTACACCTGTTAGACATTTTTACATACTATGTAGGATATAAACAGCACAAAAACATTATGGCTTACATTAACTAACTGCTGTTAGAAAAAGTAAGCCATTATCAGCAAAAGCATTACCTAAACAACTGTCAATGCTTCATTCAAATGAAAGTGTCACAATGCTGGTTTGTACCTCGGGCTTGGTGTCAGTCTCGTCCTCAATCTTGGCACGGTCGTCCCAGTCCTCAGGCTTCTTGGCCTCAGGGTCTTTGATTTTCTTTGGAGGCAGGAAGTCCCAGTCCTCCTCCAGAGAGCCTGACTCCACCTTCTCATTATCAATCTTCACCTCATAGGTCTGATCTGGCTTCAGGATCAGTGTGTACAGGTGAGTCAGCTCATCATCCTGACAGGGGAAAAGATGCCATGGTTAGATGCTGGTGAGACTAGAAAGCTGCTGATCATGAGTAAAGGTCTTCAGTGAAAGCATCTTTAATATGATATTTCTAATCTACTTGCTTGAACAGCCTGTTTTTAAGACAATGTTTTTGACACTATATGAAACAATGAACAAAAGTAGGCAGTTAAGCTAAAAACAGTGGTAGCAGCCATTATGAACCCTCAATTTTGTATGTACTTGTGTCCATTTTTATAGACAGTATGTCATACAGTACTAGAAACCACATAAAGAAGTCTATCTGAGAATACTTACCAGATTATGTAGGTTTACATAATGCCAAACTGGTGGCTATATACTACACAGTTCAACTTCTAACCAAACAATCGCTTTAATAAGGGGTGTGCATTTGTCATTTATTAATTTAAAGAGGCATTATGGCCTAAAACTAACCTTAATTGTAAATGTTAGTTGTAATTTTGAGGGCATTGCAGCCTTCAGCCTCCTCAGTTTGACAAAATGATTCATGATTTTGTATCTTTGTTTGTTGTCGTCCATCAGTGTTCTCTCTCTACAATATTGATCATGCATTATGCAAACCCATCCCACAACCACTGGGAATCCCTCCCACAGTGCTAAAGAAATCCTGACTCCTAGAATATCCACTGATGTAGAAGCTAATAAATACAGATGTTATATTACCTTTTGCATTGACCAGGTAGGAGTTAGCAGAGGAGGAGAATCATAAATAAATATTATACCCACACACATACATACATACATACATACATACATACATACATACACATATATACACACACACACACACACATACATAATAACCCTAGGCTTATTATACATCTTAAACCTCCACATTTGGTAATTATTATGAACTATCCAGTAACTACTATAAAATTCATATGCCAGTTCTGTAGTTATACAATTGAGGAATTGAAGTGTCAGCCACATATATGCCCTCAGCATAAAGGGTTAAACATACACACAGCACTAAACAAATGCTTACTTTACACTTGATGTCCTTCTTGATGAGGTGGTTCTTGCCTTTGTAGTTGAAGATGACATGAACCTTCTTGGTGCTGTAGCCACAGATATCTGGCCCTGTTAAACGATTTTAACAACTGTGTCAGAAATACTGAAATCACAAAGCTCTTCAAATTGCTGGCCAAAATCCTCCCCAACACAACAAATATAATCTCAGCCATGAAAGTGTTGTGCCATATTAAGATCTACCAAACATGACGTAGTATTGCGATTCTCCATGCATGTCGGCTTGGTTGAGGTCAGCGGGGAAGACTTTGACGTAGCCACCTCCACAGTCGATCTTCTGCTCGTGTTTGACAGAGAACTGGATGACCAGGGTTTTGCCCTCGTTGCTGAAGGGCTCAAAGCGGGCGGATGCAGCATAAAAGCGAGCGTCTTGGCTGGTTTGCAGGCCTAAATGAACCAATAAAAATAATGATTAACCAAAAAAAAAAAATCACATATAAATACCTTTAATGCCGTGGAGAGCTATAATAATCTACAGTCTAGCATTGTGTCTGTCTCTACATATAAAAGCCAGTGGTCAACCAACCCTGCTCCTGGAGATCTACCTTTCAGGAGAATTCAGCTCCTGCCCAGATCAAACTCACCAGCCCCAACTAATCAAATTGACTGATGATATAGATCAATTGTGTTCAATCGGGGTTGAAAGTGAGCAGGGTTGGTGACCACTGCACAAAAGGGGTTGACAATCACCAGATAGCTTTTAACCGTGCATATGGTGGGGGACGGGGGCTAAACCAAGCTGTGCTGCGCTTCTCTAATCAGTAACACCAGCTTAGACAGCACGTTCAGTCAAAACTGCTATAAAAATGAATGCAATATCCTTCAGATGCTGTTGGCTACTAGCTTCCACTCATTCTTAGCCTTTTCCTTTTCCTTTATTAGAAGACAGTAACAGCGAACAGCCCCAATATACACAAAAGGAATCATGCTACTTGGTGGCTGCTATTCATTCTAAGCCAGATTGGCATATTAACAAAAAGACAGAAGTGGCCTTACCTTTGTCTTTCTCCACATCACCGTAGAAGTCCCCAGAGGTAAGTTTAAACTGTCCATAGTCAGATTTGTGCTCTGAGTTCACCCACCGGCTCTTCCATTCATCTGGAAATTTTGAACAGAAAGTGGTCAGTCAAAACCTTATAGAAGGTAATTAAGTAAATAGGATTGCCAGAAGACAGAAGCAGCGTCTTTTAAGATTATTAATGATAAAGACAGCATGTTAGATTTATGGGAAACTTCAACAGGTTAGATGACATTCCATTCTTGCTTTAGAGGAAATAGAAGGACATTTCTGCTGTCCTGTCCTGTCTGCGGTGCCACTGAAAAAAACTTCCTGCTTGAGAAAGTCCCCTTTGGCAAAGGCTAACTGCATGCATACTGCGGGTTGTTACGCATTTTACTTTTGATTGAGGAATTACTCCAGGTGGAGTTTAGTGAGCTGTCCTTTCTTTGACTTTGTTTAAAGCAAAGGCACAATGCACAACCCAGCTTATCAGTTTTCTGGACATTTTGGGGGAAGGAGAAACCAGAGAGGCAGGGCCACGCATGGTACAATGCCAAACGAAAGCAAAACTGTACACTCTCAAAAAAAAGATGGCTCTTCATGGGTTCTTTAGTAAATAGAATAGTCCTATTTAGAACCATGTGTTCGATATGGAATTTATATAGCATTTCATGCTTAACCGGTTCTTTGCATGGTGAAATGGTTCTTCAAAATGATGAAGAATGTGTTGTATAAGGTTCTATATAACACCATAATGGGTTATTTTATTGTTATATCAATCTTGTAACAATAGAAGAACCATTTTTGGTGCTATGTAGAACCATTTTCACTCTCCATCAATCTAAAGAACGATTTCACCACGCAAAGAACCAGTTAAGCATGAAATGGTTCTATATAGAACACGTGATTCTAAAAAGAACCATCTTTTTAAGTGATGGGAACAAAGTACTTTAATAATCTTATAAGCTATTCTGTGCAGGTTCTGTTCAGCTCAGTTTGCAAACCAGCAATGCAAATCTCAAGAGAGCTACACATGACCTGGCCTGGGACTGTCTGAGGACTCTTATTTGCCAGTTTCCAACCCCTAAATAACCGAAAAGCTACCAAAACAACACCCCAAAACCACAATCATCAGGATAAGACTTTTAGATTTTTGATGTTTACTTTTTGGGCTGCTGTCCATTCAAACTACCTAGCAAGCTAGGTTAGCTAGCTAAGTTAGTAGATTGCTTGTAGGCTGAACACGCTTATAGTAAGAAATGTAAGCCAACTTACCACCGTCGAGGAACTGCTCTTTAAAGTAAACAGTCGCGTCGACATAAAATGTCGACAACGCTACGGAAAATATCGTGAGCAATGCAAAGTTTTGCATTTTTAAACGCTGCTGCTGCCTCCCTCGCTTGCTGTCCCCCGTGGTCTGTCCACCTAAGCCAGGTCGAGTGAGGTTTATCGCTACTTTCAGAGAAGCATGGGTGAACAGATGGCTGTCTCTGATTGGCTCACAGGCCGACAAACCCTACCAATCACGAGAGCCCACGAAGTGCATATGGATCCGCCTCTCTCATCCCGCCTCGGTCAGTTTTACTCCATTACAACTTACTTGTCTTATGATGAGTCAACACAGCGTTGCTGAGCACAGGCTGAATCCTAAACGCCTCCTGACTTGACGCGTAGTGTACTTTTTGGGTCTATAAGCCATTATTTCATGACTCGCGTAGGGAACTTCATAGGGAGTAGGCAGCAATTTGAGACGCAGCCATTAGCTTAGAGGAAAAGTGCATGTAGCTCTAAAATGTACGGTGAAGAACCCAAATGAAAAGCTGACTGAAATGATAGGAAAACGTTCAAGCGAAGACTTTGAAGGGAGAACCAACAAAGAACTTTAAACGTTGGTCACAGTAGAAAGTCTTTGGCTGTGTCCAAAACCGCATGCTACCATACTAAATAGTATGAGAAAAATAATACAAATCCAAAGTTTTTGTGGCATCAAAACTGTGAAATGTAAAGGAAGTGAGCCTTAAATTAAGTTAGAGGCTGATTCATGACTTATGACGTTGTATTATTTGGTCTTTGTAGATTGCTTTGTTCACAGAGATAATGTACTCACCTCTATATGATAAATCTTTTACTCTTAATGGCTAAGTTTTGTGGTCTGTAAATTTTCTGGGCAAAGGTCATAAACTTTGAAAAGAAAATGGACTTATCAATTAATTCAAACTTTTTTTTAAGACGAAAAAAAAACAATGCCATTAAAGCATTTATGTACTTCAGCATTTTTATGTGATCTGTATCCCCCTCACAAATGTATTTATAATGTGTGTGCATTGCTATAGGCTGCCTTTCCTGAATTTTGTCTGATGTTTTGTGCTATTTGTTTTCTAGACTTAAATTAGACTTACATTTTTCTAGACTTTAATTATCTCACAGATCTTTATTCTGGTTCGAACTGAGAAGCCATGAGGTATAATTTTCTGGACTTTTATTTTGAGATAATGACTTCTTTGTCTGGTGATCTCAAGATAACAAATGTTGTTTTCTCGAGATCACAACCTATTTGCCTTGTGATCTCAAGATAACAACTGTTTCTCGAGAAAATTTGATAATCTTGATAATCTTGAGATCATGAGAACAATAAGTTGTGATATTGAGAAAACAACTTTTGTTATCTTGAGATCACAAGACCATTGAATAGTGATCTGTAGATAACAGTTTAGTAAATTATAACTACCTCATGGCCTGTCTGGACTTCTGTAACTTTGAGTGCTTCTATTTTACTAATAAAATGCTACTAATTGTACCAATCGTTTCCTCTTTGTTTCTGTCAGGGTTGGTCTGTGAAACTTAATGCACTAAAGCGCAAGTGCAAAGCACACTTAACCACAATGGTGCATTCGTCTCTCCTTACTGTCACATGTTTTTACCACAGAACAGCTCAGGGAGAGAACGGAGCAAGAAAGAGCTTACACAGATAGAGGAAGAGGACAAGGACAGCATACGCATCAAGTACAATAAAAGTTCCTTCGGTTGAAATTTGAATTGCTAGTATGTGGCTGAAATCAAATGATAAGAGTTTAGGGTTAATGCACAGTATACGGCCTCTTAACATGACACTGTGTGGTTTTTATGTATGCTGAAATACTAAATGTGGTATTAATAAGTAATGACATGCTAGCTCATCTGAGTAGTAAGTAGCTCCAATCACTCAGTTATACGTACTCAAGTCAAAGTTGATGAGTTTGGACTGAGTATTTTCAAATCACTTCTTCAAATACACTAGATGTCCAAAAGTTTGTAGACACCTACTCATCCAAAACCAGAAAAAACAAGGTTTTAACAAAGAGTATGTACTACCTTTGCTGTGGTAACGGCCTCTACTCTTCTGTGAAGGCTTTACACTAGATGTTGAAACATTGCTGTGAGGATTTGACTGCATTCAGCCACAAGAGCATTAGGTCTGGATGACAAACACCACTCTAACTCATCCCAGATCTGGATGAAGCTACATAACTTCAGAGAATGCAGTTCCACTGCTTCACAGCCAGAGCTGGTGTGGGACTTGTTTTTTAGATCGAGTTACATGATGCAGACCAACCCATCACAAACTCCACACATGCACACACACACACTCACACACACACACACACACAATTACCTTTGTCCAAAATTACTTTTTCCTAAAGTCTCTGCATTTTTATCTTCTACCAAGGCAGCCAGTGATGAAATGAAAACTGGCAACATAATCATGACCGTCAATATGCCACAAGTTAACGTCAGCTAGGGACATTACGTTTTTTTTGGTGGAGTTCTTGCCACTGCTGTCTATCTTCACGATTCATGTATGAAAAGTGTAAAAAAAATAAAATAAAAGTGAACACTGTGGAGCTTGTTGTGTCAGATTACATCATTGCGCTCATTTTTCTAATTCAAATTTCTGTAACTGCTACATTATTTAGGGTGGAACAGGAAATGAGAATAAGAAGCTACATTCCACTTCATCTAATCTCTATTCACTGAACAAGACTCAGTTACAATCAGCAAACTGGGACTCTACCACTTTGAGGTGGGGGCTGCTGGTTTAACCCCTAAGTTACTACAGATATACACTTTGATGTAACATTTACGGGTTTACTTTCCGTATGCTTATATGTGTGAGTAGCCCAAAACGCTACTGGCCCACCAGGAAGTCCCCCCACTCTCCTGATTACCCTCTCTGGCATTGCACAGTAGTGTGCCCAGGGCCCCTCCCAAAAATATCAAGAAAGATTTATTACGTTGTATTTCTTTATGAGGTAGGTTGGTATGCATTTAAGGGCACAACAGCCAATGATCAATAAGGTAAGTTGTGCTTTCACTACAAAAATGGAATCTTGGCAAGTGAAATTATGTTAAATGTAGTTGAAATATCTAATTTCTCATTTTGAGATTGTTGTAAGCTCATTTTAAAATTGTCACTTATGTGTAGCCATTTTTACTTGTTTTAAGTAATTTTGTGGAGTAAAATGAAATGTAGTGAGATAATCTGACTTACTAAAATGTCTAGAATAGAGTATAATCTTAAAATAAGGTAATAACAATCACAAAATGAGAAATAGATACATTAACTAGATTTAAGATCATTTCACTTGCCATGTTACCATTTTTCACAACGCTGAATCACCAATTTGCTGGAGTTCTAAAAGGATTATACTTCAACCTCAAATTCAAAAGAGAAAAACAAAACAAAAAAATTGTAACTATATTTACTTTTAAATATTAACTATATTTAATTTTCACTGAAACTGCTCAACGAAATGGTTGATAGGAAGTTGGAACACCAATTAGCTACTTGCTTTAGTGACTCACCAAAAGTTAATTAGACTATTGCTTCTCTACTGCTTTTCTAAACTGAGGGGTGCCTCAGGGGTCCATCATGGGGCCAATATTTTTTTTCCTTCTATATGGTTTGCAAAGTTTTGATTTTTTGTTTTCATTTTTACATAGATGGCACACAATGATTTTAGGCCAGTTAGAAATGTATTATAAATAAATAAATGAACAAATAAATAAATAAATATTTTGTTGCAATATATGTGAACTTCCCCAAAAACCTACAAAAATACTACTACTATACTACTTATTCATTGTTTTGATGTTTGAATTTATAAACTAATATATATTATACTATGGAATAATAATAAGAATTATGCGATATAATAATAATAAATGTATATTATTGAGCATAGAAACAGAAACAAATAACATCCATGGTAAAATTAATCCAATATTGTGTGTAAAAAAGACTCCAGAGTTGGTCATTGTTACAACCCAGCGCAATGGTTAAATGACTTAAACTAACTAGTTGGGCTAAAATAGCCCAGCATTTGTTCTGTCAAATATTTAGCCAGTGCTGAGTTGCCAAATAACCCGGGTTGGGTTGTTTTCAGCTCAGCATTTCTTAAAGTGTACTTAGAGTGTACTTACACACATCATATTACAATTACAAAATAGTATACCGTGTACTGCAGGGAATCTTCAAGACTATAAATCCTGTAGCCTTCCCACCTTTGCTTTTGGCCACCCGTGCTTTCTCAATGAGGGGAAAATATAGCTGCAGTTCACATTTTCACCTGTAGATGTCCCCCTGACTCTGCTTACATGCGTTTCCTTCTGAGGGCCAGTTCCACTGAAAATACTTCACCCACAGCTGAGGCTCAGTTACTCCATATTAGCTGGTGGCAGTAGAGGAAGCACTATCAGCACGTGTAGAGGCCTAGTTTGAAAAGGAGGTTTGTGTAATTCATTTTAGAAACGTCCCAATTGTGTGTCATAGTGTGTTCCAGTCTGTCAGTGCACCTTCATGTCACCTACAAAGCATGGTAAAATAGTGATAGATCCAAAAAAAGTTTTCTTTAGAGAAACTGAATGGACTTAAAAAACTACATTTCAGGCCAAAACCATCGCAAAATGATGTCTCAGGCAGCAAATTCAATAATTAATAATGAATTCAATATAATGTTCCATCTCCTTTTGCCTGAGAATTTACACTTGTGAAAATAAAACTTAGGCATTTAAAAAATAAGATTTTTCATAAATACATGAGTACATTTATGTCTATATTTTTCCATACTTTCTATCAATATTATGAATAATAAAGGCACTGAGCTTTTACCATTTTTTTCATGTTGACAATGACAGAATAAGTGAATAACTGTCTCTGGGTAGTTGCAACAGAATGAACAAGCTGGGTCAATGTTATGTGTAACTTTTATAACGTCATTTTTAACTGGGTAGATTTTTTCTATAAGTTTATAAGACACTTCTTTAACCCTATTAGTGATTACGTTTCAGTTAGGTGTTAGCCAGATTTTCTTCTACTGAACGTCTTTGAGAAAACAATCCAATTCGAAATAACTTAAGGTGGTGTGACTAAACCAAAATTCATCAGCCCAAACTGACCACTGATGATGTCACATGAGCAAGCTGT